AAGGAAAGCATTTCCTGCTACCAGGTTACAGAATCATGTTGTCATTAGCAGAAGCTGGATGGGCAGCGAAGGTTCTTTCTATCTCTATTGCTGTGAAAATTCTTCATTTCTAGAGTGCGAAGAGAGAATTCCTATTTTCTGATGCTGACAAAACCTTCCTTTCCTAGAAAAGTCCTAAAAGTCAAGACTTTCACTGGGGGAGTCAGCAGTGAATTAACATCAAAACAAAAGCCAGCGACTTCACCCTGCACAGCGACTTCACACTGCACAGTGACTTCACACTGCACAGCGACTTCACACTGCACAGCGACTTCACACTGCACAGTGACTTCATACAGCACAGTGACTTCATACAGCACAGTGACTTCACACTGCACAGTGACTTCATACAGCACAGTGACTTCACACTGCACAGCGACTTCACACAGCACAGTGACTTCACACAGCACAGTGACTGGTCTTCCTTGTTTACCTCAAGCCCTGTCTCCTACACAGTGTCACCCTTGATTCAAACTGAACTCGCAGAACATATATTATTGATAATGCTCACTTGATCCCTGGCGTGTGCTCGCTATTCTATACACACCCTACCTCCCAACTAAAACATAAGCCCTTCAAAGAGCAGCAGCTATGGAGTATGCAAGAAATCCTTGCTTAACGTACTTAAAATATCTTGGGGGAGATGTGGAAATGAGTTGGGTAATCGTGTTGTATCTTTAGAAGAGAAACACTTGAGCACGGGAGTTTTCTAGAGAGCTCACCATCACCCCACCACACACAGAGTCTTATAACATTCAGGCTGGCCCCAAACTCCTAATTCTCCTGCCTCCCCTTTCTGAGTGCTGGGATTACAGGCATGAATCACCAACGTTTATGTGATAACTGGGAATCAACCAAGGGCCAGCTCTCAAACTGAGCTAAGTCTCCAGTTCTAATATCTTAAACTCCCTGAAACTTTAAAAATCAGTCTAAATTATCTGTACTTCCCTGACTTGTTAATCAAGCATCCTAAGCAAGCTTTATGCATCTCCTGATACTATGGGGAACTTAACTTTGTCTGGTTGAGGACAGTCAACCACTAAGCCTGTCAGTTGTGGAACTGTGTCAGAGACACCACTAGTGTACAGAACCTCAGCTGTGATCCTGATATCAAGTGGGGAGGGGTGTTTTCCCCTCTAGCTAATTTTTAGCAGCAAGTAACACTTTCCCTCTTCTACTCTCCATACGCCATGATTCCCCCCCCCCCCCAAATAAATAAAGCTCTGTAGCACTGGTCTGTTTCTAGCAATGATACGATACAAAGTTACTGTTTTTCCAGACTGCAGCTCTCTGCCTAGTTTTTCTACTGTGGAACTTTTCCTTTGTAACTAGTCTGTGCTGACCTCATCGCCCTGTCTAAACTCTAGAAGAGACCCAGGAAAGCTAAAGGCTGACTCCTGGAGTCGAGCTGCCTGGAATCAGACCCCAGTTTGTCACCTAAGAGTTGAAACCCCTAATAACAGGTAAATTGGTCTAACTAACCCTCAATTTCTTCATCTGCCTCACGAGAATATACATATATCTTACCTAATGCGGGGGCAAGAACTGCGCTTAGAACACAGCCTGTGACGGCTAAAACACGGTCGGTTTCAAGTCCATCACTCTCTCTCTCCCCTGTAAAACCGCTTCAACATTTCTCTCCACTTATGGATTGTGGTTGTCCTGCTGACAGGGGTGCGGGGGAGTTCTCCGGGGTGGAAGGAGGTGTAGACACTAGAAAAGAACTACAGCCTTCTTTCCATGGATCAGGAAGAGGTCAAGAGGCAGGGAGTGCCCCGTGTAGTCACCACTGTTACACTAATGACAGGATGCAGGGTGGAGTGTGTGTGTGTGTGTGTGTGTGTGTGTGTGTGTGTGTGTGTGATATGGGGATATTTACTTAATTAGCATTAGAAGAACCTAGGGAATAACAACAATTTTCAAATATTTTCAGGGCAGGGCTGGAACAGAGGCAACACCTAAAAACGTCTCTGTACGGACTAGTGATAACCTCCTCTTCACTAAAAGTGCTTATGTAAGGCATTGGTGGCCAGGTGTTGAGGGTGTCGTAAGAAATGATTTTTTTTTAATTTAGAGTCAGATAATTTAAGATTCTTTCTACCTCTAAACTCTTGGTAATCCTGGCATGAGTCACCAAGATGTTACAGTTTAGTATGAGTCACACATCGCCAACGCGCCGCCAAAGACAAAATTCTTCACTTGGTGTTTGGCACAGTACCCCAGCCGTAGGTGAGGAATTCTAGCCCTCGGGTTATATATACCTCAGCTCAGAGAAGCAAAACTTTTCTAATTAAGCACATCGCTTAGCTGATTCTAGACTTCTTTTATAACCCACAAATACAATAATGCATTAATCCTAACTGAGACCTGGCAAAATACTGTGCATCGGGATTAAGCCTCAAGCACTACTTCCCGTCACTCTGCAGAGTACAGGCAGGCAGAGGTGGGCAGGCAAGTAAGTGACAGGGAGGGACAGGACAGGTGGCCAGGGTGGGTGGGAGTTGGGCGAGGCCACACACGACCAAAGGAACTGGACAAAGGCCTTGGAGAACACGCCGGAGTGGGAGGCAAACTGGAGAGCCCTAGTCTGCGTCCCGCGCCTGGGATGCGGACAGCGGCGGCGGCGGACTGCGCAGCTGCAGCCGCCGCGGCTCTGAGAGGCAGGGGACCCCGCAGGGGTCCTATCATTCCGCGGCTGGGCCTCACACGGCAGAAACCGCAGCGCCAGGCGAGTCCGGCCGCCTAGGCCAGACAACGCACCTGCTGGGCTCAGACACCTCACTGCGCGCCCAGGAGTAGCCGCCCCGCCCCGGGCCCCCACGCGAGTCCCGCCGCCGCCGCGCTCGCGGAATGCGGGACAGCGCCGCCTCCCGCCCCGCCATGCCGGGCCGGGGAAGAGCTGCAGCCGCCATCGCGGGCCGCGCACACGGGGGCTGGGGGCTGCAGTACCTGAGAAACCAGGGGCAGCAGCGTCTGCTCCACCGAGCGCGTTCTGATCTCCAGTCCCGAGTCGAAGGCGAAGCCAGACGCGTTGCAGGAGTGGACAGCTCCCGCACCGCCGCCGCCGCCGCCGCCGGGAAGCGGAGAAGCGGCCATAGCCCTCCACCGGTCGGACCGCCCGCTCTCCGCACCAGTGCGGGCCCGCCAACCAGCCCGCCGGTCGCCCGCCGCCTCGCTGGCCCCACCCCTAGCCTTGTGCCACCACCTCGGCCCCGCCTCCACGCGACCCCAGGCCCGATAGCCACGCCCCTAGGCGGCACCACCGACTCGGCCCCGCCCCAAGACCACCCCACCCTAGTTAATCCCGCCCTCAGCCCTGCCCCCCTAGGCCACGCCCACCTACCCGTAGTCTGGATCAAGCAGTTGGGGCTCATCAGCCCCGCCTCTAGGGCGGCACGCCTCCTCCTAGCTCCACCCCAAACCCTGGGAGCCCCACCCACCCGCTGATATTGACCCACCCCTCGGGCTCCGCTCTCTGCATGCCCGCCCAGTAGGCCCCAGCAGTGCCTCTTTCCTCAGGGGTGTGTGCCAAAATGTATTTTACCCAAAGCGAGAAACAAGACACCTGAGGGCCTCCCCATGTTCACAGGGCTTCTTATCAGAAGACAACTGTCCTCAGCAAAGCTGCCCGCCAAATCCATTTGCTTCAAAAATCAAAAAATCATACATATTTCTACAAGTTTTGATGGGGTTGAAAATAGTAGGGAATCTCTGCCCTGAGGTGGCAATTATACTTGTAATTATCTTTTCATGGCTTCCCAGGAAGGTCCACTCCATTTCCCCTTCACTCCTATTTTCTGATTATGTATCTCTTACACGGAGTTGAAACATTTGATAATACATTCACATAAGTATCCTGCTACTCAGCAAGAAGGTAGTGGGTCTTGCAGGCAGTATCTTTAGAATTCACCTTCAAGAGAATTAAAGTTGTATGCACTGATAAATACTGTTTAAAACTACTTTTTACAATGATTTTTAATATTAGCCAAGAACTAGCAGCGTGTTAACGGCTCCTTAAAACATCGTGTCTATTTCTGACTGAAGTCACTTAAGGCTAAGAATCCATTCTCTCAGCCCAACCATGAGCTCATACACAACTCCTGTGACGAGAAGGATCGCCAGCACTTTTCCTCTGGTTTCCAGGAGCGAAGCCAAGGAAGGATTTCAGAAGTCTGCACCTTAGGGAGGATTCTAGACTTAAGCAACTGACTGAGAAGCACAAGAAAATATTTTTGAAGGACCATAGCTGCTAACGAGCACCTACTGAAGCAAAATGGTATCTGAGACTGGCTTTCTCCATCCATCAAGTTAGACTGATGGGCTCAACTTCCAGTGTTGAAAGCAAAGTTGCAGGGCTCAGCTTTATCTGCCAAAGCAGCGTGAGCATCTGGTAATGGAGATAGCAAAACTTAAAAAGAAGAGCTCCTGCTGGGTGGTGGTGGCTGCAGTGCGCCTTTAATCCCAGCACTTGGGAGGTAGGGGCAGGAGGATCTCTGTGAGTTCAAGACCAGCCAGGTCTACAAAGAAAGTTCCAGGACAGCCAGGACCGTTACACAGAGAAATCCTGGGGCGCGGGGAGGAGTTTAAAAAAGAAGCGCTTCTAAATTCAACTCATCTTCCAATTCTGCCAAATATGGGTGTTAGGAATCCAACTTGGGTCCTCTGGAAGAGCCAACTCTCCAGGCGCCTTTAACTTCAACCACCATCCTCCCACTTTTTACAAGTCTGCCTCTCTCCAGTGCACTGAGGACTTTTGCCTCAGCTATGGACCCTTTTGGCCACTTTAAGGTGCAAACGTACGCTCCCCAGACAGTTTCCCTCATGTAAGATGACCAATTGCACAAAAATACCGGCGCCAGTATGAATCCTGGTGCCAAAGGTAGGATACACAGGGAAAGTCTGGAAAAAGATCAAATTTCTAAAAACAAAAAAACAAAAAAAAGGAGGCTGTTTATCACCTGTTTCATCCAACATTTGTGACTTTATTTCAAAATATAAATATTTTACATTTTACAAAGATGTTACATCAGTAACTTGTGAAAGCAAATTAAAGCTAAGAAACAGCATTTGTGTAATAAAGGATATTTACTGCTGCATTTGAATGCTATTTTTCCTGTCAAACCATTTCTCTCCTTCACCTGAGAATGCAGCGGCGATACATTGTCAGAGTTAAATAATTACAAGGATATGTTTAATCTTAGTTTCACAATCAAACAGTATTTGAAGTACAATCCAGGTACCTGAACAAGTAACACTGTAAGGACAAAGAAGGGTTTTCTCTAGGACAGCTACAGCAAGAGTTACTTCTGGGCCACTCCAATAACCAAAGCATTTATATTTCACAATAAGCCAAACCACGGTTGGGTCTGTTTCCATACCTTCATTGTATAAATAAAGCTAGAAGGAAAGACCAGTAGAAAGAACTTTGGACTTGGAGTCAGAGACTCTATAACCAAATCCTGACTCCATCCTTTTGTGATCTAAACTTAGGAGAGAGGAAGGGGGAAGAGAAGGGGTCAACAACAAACTTCTCTAGAGTTTCCAGTGCCTCATCTGTACAATGACTGTAATACTGTCTGCCTCACAGGGCTGAACCTAAAGGTGCTGGAAAATTATAAAGTGCCATACAAAAGCATTGCTAAGATGCAGCAACAGCATCATCAGTGTATCTGCACACTGAATGAGTCTTGAAGAACTTGGATACTGATTTTGTGTGCCACAGGTGGGAAAGAACATCCTCCCTGCTAGTACAGCTCTGGGCAGCAGACGGCTAGGACTTGTGGCCTTCCCCTAGTACTGCGGTAACATAGGCACTGCCAGTATTCTCACTAGCAGCTGTCTTTTACAAGACCTGTAAACTTGATCAAAGGAACCCTGGTCTTTTGAGATGCTCAGAGGAAGGTGGAGGACAGGGACATGACATACAGTGACACAGTCTGTCCCTCCTGAGTTCACAGTGTGTCATGGCATAACAGAAACTCAGACATCCCAGGGAAAGGAAATAACTTAGCATTCCTGAATTTTAATTGACCGTGGAATCTCCCCTCTCTCAGCAGTTTTTCTCTTACTATTCATTCTGTAAACAACTGCTATATAGAACTTCTTTTTTGACAAAAGTGGTTGAGGAAAAGGGAAGAGAAGCAGAAGGTGAGCTGAGAGCAAGGGTATCTGCATTCCACTCTGAATTCTGCTGCTAACAGGCTCTGTGCCATAACCTACCCACAAACCTATTTCCTTCTCTAAAACGACCTCATCCTCTCATTACAACAGCCCATTCAAGCACCACACTTCTGCAACTGCTAAGAAGGATCCTCATCTACAATTCTGTTATGTGTTTTTAAGTTGTCAAGAAAGCTGCTTAGTGGCTTCAGATAGGTGTTTTTCCCAAACCTTCGTGAGTTAATGAAATGAACACATTTAGTGGCAAAAATAGCAGACAAGAAACTGATAAAAAAAAATAAATAAATAGAAAATAAATAGTAGTTGTTCTCTGCAGGAACTAGAATTTGGAAGTTTGTTGCCGTGAGCAATTTTCACTGTGAAGAGGGCACTCAAAGTCATACTGTGATACACTTGGAAAGGCTGTGAGAGACCCTCAGAACATTCTGGAAGGTCAGGACCAGAATATGGAAAGTCGTGAATGTATTCCTCACAAACTAGGTTAAGACCTCTAGATAGTCACCTACATGACTGTATTTTAGCCCAAGCCTGATTAGCCTTGTGTTCCCAGCATTTCTTGTCACACTTCTGAAACAGGCATCTAGCCAAAGTGGGAAGTAGAGGAATGCAGAAGTCCTGAAAAAGCTCGGTGAGTAGCCAAGGTTAGCCAGAGGAGCAGCTCTACAAGTCCTTTCCCGCCTGTACACTGGTCCAAGCAGCTGCCATCCCCAGAGCCAGAGTCTGGACACAGGGTCTCCACACAGCACCTTTCCACAGTCAAGAGCCAACCCAGACTCATCTCAGAGCCCAAAGGTCAGCAGTCAGCTCTTGGGGAAGACGGGCTAGAGACTCACAGTTTTACTATCTAACACTGGCAGCTGAAGAAGCCCATAGGTCACATCTGAAAATAAGACTGTGGGATCCAGGCAGGAGGTCTATCACATGCGACTTATGCTTCCAGCCCTGCACCTGCTGTCTCACAATCAGAAGCAGATGGGTGCACACAGCTTCCTAGCTCCTTGTGTACCCATTCAGTTTAAAACTGCCAGAGAATGGGAACTGGAAACTAACCCTTACTGTATCTGTGGAATCCAAGATGCTATGTCAGAGTTCTGTCCTCAGTTTCACGGAAGCTACTTCTGCTTCATGGATGCATTCTACAAGCACTCACACAAATAAACACACTGCATTCTATACACAAACAGACAGATACACACCCCAAACACACACACAAAAATGCCTGGCACAGATACCCTCTCTGTTCCTAGGGGAACTTCTTCCCAGATCAAATTCCCATGCAAACTCTTCAGGGAAGGTTAGAGACTTAAGCTAAAAACTCCCACCTTGTCGTGCCACCTGCTCTCTATCTATCCTAGAAAAATTCTGTAAAACCTCTTCCCTGTGTGTGACACGTGCCAGGGTGCTTTTCTAGTTCCAACCTCCTGAATTCACTGTAGCGATGGAGAGTTTGAGTGTCTTGATTGGGACGGTGTGCTGCTACGGGGACCTCTACCCCTAAAATTCCAGTGCGGTCTTAGGCTGCTGCTACTAATCTAGGAAGCTCAGAACTTCCCTCAAACAACTTCACTCTCAGATTGAGAATTACCCTACCAACAGCTATAAATTAGCTCAAACCTAGGTTTTTGTAATTTTGCTCTTACATGGCTTAAAAGCATATTGGAGCAACATAATTTGTATATGCACACAAACAACTGTGTTTATTGCCTTCTATGAATATGTGCTAATTATAGCTATAAACTTAACAGGTTATATTAAACAAACAGAAACTTGGTTTCTCTCTTCAGCCATTTTAATACAAGAATTTCAGATTTAGAATGATGCATGATCTGTCTGGCATTGAAGGTGAGGACGGCTGTTTTCAGGACCTATCTCCCAGAACACCCTGTACAGTCCCTGGCACAGTGCCTGGACTTTACTAACACTCAAGAAACGTGTTAATGAGCAAATGACCAACTGATTAAAGAACAATAAGTGATTTAGTGGCCAAATCTAACAGGTAATGGAATAATAGGTCATAAATATTGAAGGATTCATGATACAACCAGGAGACCTGCATGTGCTATGCTATCCATACATTCCTCCAAGTCAGGACACTGTAGTATGTGGGGTGTATTACTTGCGACATAAATAAATTTATAAACTTAGATGTTTTAGAAAAAATAATTTTAGTCTTAAATGCTTTCAAGAAAAATCTTCAGCACAAATCCCTTCTGCTCCCTATTCTCTTGGGGCACGGGCAGGGCTGGTGACTTAAGAGCTAGGAAGGAAAAAAAAAAAAAAAGAGCTAGGAAGGGCACCGCACGAGGAGCTGGCTCCCCTGGCCATGTCATGAAACAGGACAAGCTTTCTTTCACTTGTAAGGAACGAAGGGCAACACCTGGCACAGGACTGGGAAACTGCTAAAGTCCTAAGAATGCTTTGCGACAGAGTTTGCAGATGTGAAGCCGGGAGATGGGAGACCAAGTCTTATAACACTGGGTGGCTCTGTACTGGCCACTGTCCAGTGTGACACTGTTGAATGCAAAGCTGAGGGAGCTGATGAAATGCATGTGAAGTTATATGCACAAGGGCTGCAAAAGGAAAGCACTATGCTGGTTATGTCATATCTGAGATAGGTAGAAAGTTACAGTCCAACTCAGCAAGCATTCATCTAGAGTCACGTGTGCAAGGCACTTTGCTAAGTGACAGTCTGCTGCTAAGTAACTTACTGATAGAGTCCCAGGTCAAGAACTGAGGGCATACACAACAAACCAGAGGACCACTCCACCTGAGCATCTTTCCTTGTGAAACAGTTAGACAGCTCCAGATCCAACGTGGTCGGGAACGTTGTAGAGATTTGGCAATACTGAAAGGAGGGTAAAGGGGAGGAAGGGAGAAGAGCCCCACTCTTACTGCTTCTCTTCTGGTCACAGCACACATACCCCACCCAGGTTTACCCCGAAGACTCCTTTCTTCTCTGAGGAGGGGATGATGTTATTCTAAAAGGGTATCAGATGCATGTTCCCTGCTTACTAAGCCATACAAGAAAGTGAAAGCCTCGTCACTGAAAAGGGGCTAAGCGTTCCTAACACAGGAGGAAAATTACAGTGAATATACCTTTAACAGCAGGTATTTCAGAATCCTTAGGGAGACTTTATAAATACGCATTGCAGTAGACAATCGAAAGGGCAGTTTCAAGCCTCGGTACCAGTGCATGAACTGAAACTTTTCAAGTCATCTTAGCATGAGCTGTGAGCGAACAGAGCTTTCAACTCAAGCTGTGTTTAAAATGCAAAGCAGCCTAGAGCAATTCCACTCTCACTTGGTGTTCTGCGTGTAAGGCTGGGAGGCGTCTGCTTCTTTTCTGGGTGCCCCTGCCTGGCAGACACGGCTGACAGAAGAGGCCACACCTGGGAGCAGTCACCCTCAGGCTGAACTCCCCAGATAAGTCACTGCAGCAAAGCTGTGTCACTCTCCTGAAGATTTCAGATCTTCAGAGATGTCACGGAAAGTCCTAAAAAAGAAGACAGAAGGGTCAGTTTTGGTTTGGAAAGGCGCAGGGACAGTAAAACCACGAAGAGAAAAATTAGAAGCAAGGAGGGAGGGCAAGCCCGGAACCAGCCACCATACAGCATTGTGTTATTTCATAACCTCTTAGAGGGCAGAACAGAGTCCAGTCACTGATTTTAGTGTTTTCACAAGACTGTTTCAAAATCTACTAGTGAGCCCGTATTCTTTACAAACAAAAGCCCAGTTTAGGGCTGAGTCCATTATCTTTTATCCAAAAGACTTCCCTAGACTTATGGAACCACATATGGCTATGTGACTGAATTTTGGCTAACAGGATGGTCGGAGAAGTGTTATGCAACTTTGGGCAGTGGTTTGGCTCTTAGAGCTTCTAACTAGCTGGAAAATACACATGATGATATTAGAGAGATTAAGTTGCAGCCTGGATTAACTGCTGAGTGACTAGCCTCCTGTTAGGAAGTAGGATCCCTGGAGCAGCACAGAACCCAATCCCTGCGGGCGGAGCTCCAGGCAGATGTGGGACGGCATTTTACCACCTTCTACTATTGCTGTCCTCCATCAGACAAGCTAAGTGAGCACTGCCAGTGTCAGCTGGTATCTGGACTGGGCAAAAAGGTGTGCTGAACAAAGGTTTCTACTTTAGGACAGTGGTGGCTAAACAGTCCTTGATATGGCCTGAGTCACAATGTCACCACGCAAAGCTGAGTGCTTACAGACAGTCAAATGGGCAGGTCAGAGCTTATCAAGGGACACGAGCTCCAGTATCCACCTTAGAAAGCCACAATCAAGGCTGCCACAGCCTTCTGATGGAAAGAGGCTGGGCTTGGGCATTTGTTTAACACATTAGACCTGCAATGAATGCCCCTCTGGACTTCTTTTAAACAAGAAAAAAAAAAACCTTCCAACTTCTTTACATTGTTTTGAGATCAGCTGGTGATGGGTGAGAGGGTTTTATTATTGGCATTGTTCCTACTGAGGCAAACTTGCCTGAAGTGAGATATATATGGACAGTTTGTTAGCGGTCATCTAGAGAAACCATACTTCTCCTTAACAGAACCACCAGGGAGGAAGACAAAAGACATCAGACCCTAAAACACTGGCGTTTTTCAAACTAAAACAAGTTTGAGAGCTTTGAGTGCATGTATGTAGATGCCTCATGTACATGTCTGGTGTTCAGAAGAGAGCATCCAATTCCCTAGAACTAGGGTTCCAGATGGCTGTGGGTACCATACGGACCTAAAAAGAAGGTCCTCTACAAGAGCAATAAGCAGTCCTAAACTACTATGTCATCTCTCCAGGCCCTCAAGAGCAATTTCCAACTTACATTTAGCCTCTGACCATATAAACAGAACATGTTATAGCACTGTTCCTTTCTAGATCACCATCCTCAAAGTCAAGTAAAGTTAACTTTGTTTTTATAGCAAATCAGCCATCAGCTATCACGAAGCGCTCAACATTTTCATTAGAAACAGAACTAAAAGACAACACAGGCTTAAGTGTGCTGAGTCCAGGCAGCAGTGTGAACCACACACAGCACAAGATTTTTTCCTTAACAGCCTAAAAAGCAAATCTAACTTCAAAAACAGTTCCACAGTCCTGCAACCTCCTCCTTAACTCCTTTAGCTTTAAGCATTTTCAGTCCACGCAGACATACAGGAGTTGGAAGAGTAGGAATAAACTGAAGCCTAACCTTCTAGTACAAAGCACAAAGTCCTTCAAGGTCAAGAGGAACACAGGTAATGTTGCAGAAGAGACACTGCACACACAGATGCTCAGCTGTCTGGAGGCTCTCTCAAAAACGGTGAGTGACCTAAGCCTCCCGCCCTCAGAACACGAGAACTATAGAGCCCAAGGCTTTGAAAGTTTTCATGTTGTATGACTAAATCCACCACGAATACAAAAACACAGTGACAGACTGAACACTGCAACAAAAGTCTCCTTAAATACTTCTGTTATCATCTTTTAAAAGGGTCAAACAACAAAGATTTACATCCATCTATGTACTGACATTTAGCAGCAGTGACACTGTCCATATTTCTGAGCACTTTATTTGGCAGATCCCCAGGCTCTATCCACTAGAGTCCTAACAATGCATGTGTGCATGGGGTGGGGGGTGCACTCCCCTCCATTGCCAGAACCATTGCTGCACACAGCGATTTATGTAACTACTTCTTAGAGTGTTGTCCAAGTTCGTGTTTTGAAATTTGAAGATAAACGAAGTCAGCTAAAAGCTTTCTCCAACAAATAGGGACTCAGGTAGTAATTTTGAAAAACGCAGAAAAATGTTTTTACAACTAATAATCTATAAGCATTTCTAAAATTCTAGATTAATTTATCCTTTGACATCTTTAAAAGTTTTAAAGAAATCTGTAAGTTAGAATGAAACATAACTGATCATTTCTCTCATTTATGAATGAAAAGTCTGCCTGAAGGACAAAGATGTACCAAGATTAACACTGTGGCTGACTGTGGTTAGCCTGGTGATTTACTATTCAATGCTGCCTCCTGGCCAAGAAAAGGAGGCGCTTCGCATGGTTCCTCTGTTCTGGGACACAGAGCATTTAGGGCAAACAAAGACAAAGACATTAGCTGAAACAGGTCAGCTTGCATGCTTGGAACTATGTGACCAAAGGGCAACTTAACGTCTCTAAACTTCATCTAAGCACCATGGGAAGCACTGATGGGTTCCGAACAGAACATCTGCAGAGCCAGGCCTGGTGTATGCCTTTAATCCCAGAACTCAGGAGGTAGACAGGTGGATCTCAGTGAGTTCCAGCCAACTGGGGCTACATAGAGAGACCTTGCCTCAAAAAAAACATACAAAGTTTTTTATCATGGGATTCAGCACACAGTAAGTTTCAATAAATGTTACAAGTGTCATGTGTGTTACTACTTAAACAGCCATTTAAAACTGCACACTACAGGAGCAGTGCATCCAACACTGAATGCCAGAACAAGCACCCATTAACATCAGGGAGTTGGTGGGGAGAATCCAACAGGCAACCACTGGGACTCGGCCATTCCTGAAAAGCAGAAATTCCAGGCCAGTAGTAGAAGGAGTCTAAAACAACCTGAATTCACCCAGCAAAATCGCCTATAAGGCTCAGATGTAGGTAACATAAGCTAACTATGAGAGGAGGGTGGAAGCTAAGCAATGGATCGCTGCTCATCTGCTAGGAAAGTCCAAGACAGCACCTTGCCCTCCATCGCCCCCATCATCTGCCACACCAAACAGCTGTCCCTTCTTCCCCACTCCTTGGCAAAAATTAATTTCTTCTCTCTGGAGACAGGAAAGTTTTTGGACTAGGAACAACAGGCAGAGATGCAAGTGAGCTACGTACTAGCAAAGGGTACCAAGCCTACAGCAGATCTCTGCACCAGCAGTGCATCGGCCCTTCCCTGCTCCTAGCAGCAGCTGGGCTTGCTACCTCCAACCAGAGCTGATGATCTGTGAGGACTCAATCACCCCACAAAAGGGACAAAAAATCACAGCCATTGAGGGCTGCACAGGCAATGGACTTGTCACGTAAGTCATGCCCTTAATACCTCAGCGACAGCTTCAATGTCTCACTTTTAACATGAGCCAAAACCCAAACACCTTCATTACCTGACAAAGTCAAAGCTCTGTTTTTCACAGTAAGCACCATCCACAAGCAGGAAGGAAACAACGGTGGTTATCTATGGACCCCTGCATCGTCTTTCCCAGCTCTCCCCACTTGATGATACAACATCCGACTTCCAGGAGAAGAGAAACAGGACTCTTGTCTCTACCTTGGTTTCTTCTGTTTCATCTTAAAATAAGTCTTGCTAGATGGGCGGTGGTGGTGCACGCCTTTAATCCCAGCACTCGGGAGGCAGAGGCAGGTGGATCTCTGTGAGTTCGAGGCCAGCCTGTTCTACAAGAGCTAGTTCCAGGAAAGGAACCAAAAGCTATGGAGAAACCCTGTCTCAAAAATTCAAAATAAACAAACAAACAAACAAACAAAATAACTCTTGCTTTATAGATTAAAAATAATTAGAAGCCCCCCCCCCAAATTAACAGCAAAACATTAACAAAATCTGTGATTGTCCCTCTGGTGCTCTGAAGAAGCTACCCTTCTCCTCACTAGGCAGACACCCGCTATTAAATGAGAAAGCAAAGTGATGCGGTAGTACTTCAGTGGGGCTGGGAGCCATGGCGCGACTGCCGCTAGGAAAGCAAGGAGAGGGGAAGGGAGGGGAGCGGAAGACAGGACCACACTTTAAAGGGATTTTACACAGTAATATAAAAGTGTAAGTGGACCGTCAGAACCGACTTGTCAGTTGGAGTACTCAAATACACTAGAATATACAACAACACAGAAAGCGGTGCTTTCCCACTGAAGACAAGCTGGAAAACATAATGAAATGTCTAGAAGTTTAAAATGTTTTATTCTCAAACTGTTGCTAGGCTGTACAGGCACAAACTTTACAGAGAAAGTAAATTTTGTAATCACTGTTTGATTCTAGAACAGTGTTACTATGCAGCCTGAGCTGCTGTCAGCACTGGAACTGATAATCCGCCCGCCTCTGCCTCCCAAACACTGAGGTCACAGGCATGAGCCAACACACCTGGCTTACGTTCCAAGTTTTCAACACTAAACCTGATACACAGTAGACATTTCACTTCTAGGTATACAAGCAAGTGAAATATAATTCACAACCACCAGGATATACACGCCAGATAACTAACAGAATCCTGTCTTTTAACAGCCATAAAATGACAGCTTTCTAATGCCTTTCAATACCACACTGAAAAACGAGACTGCTATATTCATACACCAGAATGCCAGAAAACAATGAAAAAGAATGAGTGAAAGAAAATACAATGATTGGTGAGTAATACAGGTAGAAACACTGACCAAACAAGGCCCGCCTCAAGAGCAGTACACAGTACACTTCACACAGTGTAGTGACTACAGTCAGACTATCAATAAGCTGAGTATTTGATGTCGAGAATGCACTGGAAAACGTGAGGACTGATGGACTATGTTGCATAGCTAACGAGTACTCTGATGACTCTAGATGCAGGTCATCTCTGAAAACAGAGACAGGGCAGTCTATGTCTTTGTCTACCGTGGTTGCCACCATGCTGCTGAACTCACCTCTGAGTCTGAGCAGGCCAAGGTGTCTGATTTGGTGTGGGCACTGAATTCGTAGGACTCACTAGCATGGCACTGTAGATATTGGAAGCAACCACAAGTATGCAGAGAAGTATGGGCCCAATGATGGCTCCTTCCAGGCCCAGGTAGTACGCTCCGCCAGCCACCGCTAAGCCAGTCAGGTAAGGATGGCCTCCTCTGGAACAAAGAACACACCAGCTCATGCAACTTCTAATGCGCGCCAGCTGTGGAGTAAATCCCAAGGACTCTCCAATACAACGTTAGTTCCCTGCTATTCCAGCTGTGGAGTAAATCCCAAGGACTCTCCAACACAACGTTAGTTCCCTGCTATTCTAGCTGTGGAGTAAATCCTAAGGACTCTCCAATACAACGTTAGTTTCCTGCTATTTCAGGCTTTATTGCACTACTAGCTTTCTTCAGATTACGTCAATGCAGAATCAAGAACAGTGTAATAATATTGAGAAACAAGGATTTTCTTCGTATGTAGCAATGAGTGACATCTGCCTTTTCTTACAGGACTCGCTGTCATCGGGTAGTCTGTACTTTCCACATGGCTCCCTGAAGATTTCTGCTGGCTGAAGACTGGTGACCTAAGATGCCCACTAGGTTACTTCCTTTAAGTACAACAGTGAGCATAATTCAGCATGCATTCAACTAACTATGGCGTCTTTAATAATACATAATTATAGCTGTAAAAATAGTAACATCAATATGCCTATTCTCAGTTTAGACCTTTGGCAACCTTCTAAAACACGGTTACCACAGGTGTAATAAAGGGCCACACAAGGAAGGCATCTGTCAACAAAGCCCAAGATTTTATTTCCCAGGAGTCATAACTGTCTGAAGCTTATCACGGCATCGCTGGCACAGTGGGATGGAGTGAGCCAGATACAGCAGCACAGCATAGATAAGCCCTGACCACTGACGCAAGAGGGATGAAGAACTGGTCACGGTCTGTTTGTTTCGAGTTTTTAAATAACACAAATGAGTGGAACATTTTAATGAGGGTAAATAATTAAATACTTAGGAAGGATGTTTGATAATATATTACAGTTTACAAACACATACTGTGGTCAGCCAGCCTTCAGGAAACAAAAGCATGATGTTCATAATTTAGCTCTCTTCCTTCTTTCAAAAAGAGATTCATAGCAGTGGCCCACAAAGGTCAAGTAGACTTCCCCTAACCAATATGTTTGAAGAAAATTGTTATCGGACATTCTTAAGGCTTAGAGTGGGGGAAGGAGGATTTTTAAATAAAAGCTTAATTAAAAATATAATTTAGGGCTGGAGAGATGGCTCAGCAGTTAAGAGCACTGATTGCTCTCCCAGAGGTCCCAGATTCAATTCCCAACACCCACATGACAGTTCACAACTATCTGTAACTCCAAGATTTGACACCCTCACAAATATATACATATAGGCAAAACACCAATGCACAAAAATAACAAATAAATTACTAAATACATATGTAATTTACACTAAACTTTTCATTTCCTAATAATACTGATCAAATATTTATGAGAAAATCACATACAAATCTTAAATTATAACTATAACCCTTAATATAAAAAATTTACAGCAAAGTTTAAATACATAGAGCATAAGTACAAATCATATATTGTTTAGACCTCAGTTTTGAAACCACAGTATTGGTTCTATGGTTGGCTGTTTTGAGGCAGGGTGTCATCCTGTTGCCCTAACTCACCTGCAGCTTGCAATGTAAAACAAATGGCTTTGAACTTTTGGTTACTTTCCTGCCTATGCCTCTCAAGTGCTGGGATTACAACTGGGCACCACTAAGCCAGGCTTTGTTTCTGTTGGGTTTGTTTTTGGTTTTTGTTTCAGAATTTTTACATTCGTGTGTGTGTGTGTGTGTGTGTGTGTGTGTGTGTGTGTGTGGTGCGACTGCATGTGAGAAGAGGAACTTGGATTCCCTAGAACTGCAGATACAACAGTTGTGAGCTGCCCAGTGTAGGTGCTGGGAACCAAAGTCCAGTCCCTTGAAAGAAGACTACACAGTCTTATGCATGGAGACAATTCTACAGCTCCAGGCTGTTTTTGATGCTGAGACAGGATCTTGGTATGTAGCTCAAGTGGGCTTACAACTGGCAATCATCTTGATTCTGATTCCTGAACACTAGGATCACAGACCCCAGCTGATACTTTTACTTTTCCCTCTCAAGCTGGAGGCATATAAATTCCCCATGGGAAGGATTGGGAGTTTCCTGTTTCGTTTCACTCTGGTTCAATGGGGCTTCTACACCGCTCTACATTAATTTCCAACTTTAATTTATTTGAGAAGAAATAAATCACCATACAACTTAATTTCAGAAAACTTAAAATAACTGAAAACAGCTGTTTCTAGAAGCTGAGGCCCTGTCCAGTTGGCTTTTAGGTTTTGTTCTTGAGACAGAGTGTCACTATGGAGCCCTGGATGACCTCAAACTGGCTAGATAACCCAGGCTGACTCTGAACTCACAGGAATCATCCACCAGCCTCTGCATCTTTAAGAGCTGGTACTAAAGGTGTGCATCACCATGCCTCCTCCCCATCCCCCATTCCACATGCACTCAATCTCACTGGATCTTTTGTTTACTGACAGTATACCAAATGAGGCCAGATGTGAGTCCGAGCTGGAACTACAGAACTTAGAAAGTTAAGACAGGAGGATTGTGAATTGGGAGATCTATCTGAGCTATACAGTGAGCTCCTTTCTCCAAACAATAATCATTATAAAAATGAAGATAATAAATATATTAGCTGTTTTGGGTGGGTTTCACAGGCCATATTCTGAAATTTAAGTCAGAATGATGAAAATCCACTTGGCTGGGACCGAGACAATAATGAACAATGTGAAATCTGGACACATGTCTACGTGACAACCTGATTGAGGATGGAATGCAATCTCTATACAGAGACCAAAACACAGGATAGATCTTTATGGTATCAGCAAAGTTTGATGCGTTTGAAGCTGAAGCCGTGTCCATACAGACATAGCATCTCAAGAGAGCACAGGCATTAGAACACGCTGTAACTCACGTTAGGTTGGAATTTGCAGATGCACAACTGCATAATCATTTTCTACAAAGGCAAAGCAGCACCAAAATATATACTAACTCTTTGCTGTATTTGAAATATTTTAGGTATCTCTGGTAATATTTCCCTCATAGGCCAAATGCCACAAAAATCAAACCATATGCATAATTTTGTCTTAACTTGTGGCTTTATAAATACTTATATAACAATCATACCCCTATCATAGCAGTATTATACTACATACAAATTTCACTGTCAGAGAAATCACAAAAGGCTACCCAAATGAAAAATTCTTCCACTAGTCCTTCCCCATCTCTTCCCAAAACTAAACACTCTATGACTTAGCAAGAACTTGAGAATGCTTACCCTGATATGTCAGAGTAGATCGCAGTGTCTACGAAGTATGTCGGCAAGAGATGGAAGACCAGGAGCAAGATGGCCTTACACCCTAGCCCTTGTGTCAGCCACAAGTCTAGGACAGCAGGTACTGCGGCCCAGTATGTCCCCAGGAATGGCACTGCTCCAAGGATTGCTGCCAAAGCTAATACAAGAGTAAAAGAAAAGCAAAGTCACTGGCAAAACAGCAACAAAGCAGCAGAACCCAGGCACTGGCTCTCCCTCCCTAAAAACAGCCTATTGTAGCTGGAGGTCCAAGTTTGGTTCTCAGAACCCACAGGGCAATCAAAGTCACTGCTAACTCCTGTTCCAGATATGACATGCTTTGGTCTCTGCAGGCACTGCACACATGTGGTGGAAATACATCCACACACATAAAATAAAAATAATCATCTCTTAAAAAGCCACCCAAAGAGCCAGACATTGGTGGCTCACGCCTTTGATCCCAGCATACAGAAGGCAGAGGCAGGCAGATCTTTGTGAGTCTGAGGCCAGCCTGGTCTAGAGAGTGAATTTCAGGACAGCCAGGGTACACAGAGAAATCCTGTTATGGAAAAAAAAAATCCACCCAAACAAGTAAGAGAATAAAAGATTCAGTTTTAGAGGGCTGGTAGAGCTGGTTTAACTGATCTTTCTAGTTAAATAACAGTTCACTATGGGAGGGGGGGGGCATCAAGACAGTTTCTCTGTGTGGCCCTGGCTGTCCTGGAACTCGTTGTAGATCAGGTTGTCCTTGAACTCAGAGATCTACCTGCCTCTGCCTCCTCAGTGCTGGGATTAAAGGCATACACCACCACTGCCCAGCTAACAACTCATTTTAAAAGTTATCAATTTTTCTAATGTTCTTTTTTTTTCTAAATATTTTAATTTTTTTCTGTGTAATGTTGTGTCTGTGTGTGGGCATCAGATCCCCTGAAACTGAACTTACAGACAGCTGTGAACTGCTACATGGGTGCTGGGAATTGAACCCAGGTCCTCTGGAAGAGCAGCCAGTGCTCTTAAGCTCAGAGCCATCTCTCTAGCCCCTAGTTTATGCTATTCTTAAATGTTAAATCTTACTGTCCTATCGCTAAAATCCAGTCCTATAAATATACTCGTAGAACATTCACCAAAATGTCCTGACACTCAAGTCAATCTAAATCTGGTTGAATTCTTATTCTTTAATTTGCCACTAAGAAAAGAAAGAAAGGAAGGAAAGAAAGAAAAAGGTAACTAATACAACAAAGCCCTGTAAGTAGAGGACTTTACTTCAAGCTCACTCCATTCCAAGTACTCTCCTCTCTTTGGCTCCCTTCAGACTAAGAGCCACGCAGATGTGGTTCTTGTTCTGATTCAACCATCAACCATTCAGGTGACCTTGAAAAACTGGTTTTCATCCATATATCACCTTTCATCAATATATTGCCTACCTCAATAGCTCCGTGTGGTCTCAGGGTGCAGAACAATCAGAGTGTGGGTTACTAGACAGTCAACTGGGAGAAAGCATGAATTGTGGGGACGTAAGGAGGGGGAAACGAACGAAAGTAAAAAAGTTACAGCAGAGGCAAATGTGGAAGGCAGGAAGAGATACTTAAAGAAACAATGACAAACACAGGAGACCAAAGTGGAAGGGGTTCTGAACCAACAAAGAAAAGAACCAGCCTGCCCTCTGCCTGTGTGGTGCTTGCAGAATGAAGGTGCTGTGCTCAGGACAGATCACAACAGACACAGCTGCTTCTATTCACCCAGACGCATTCAGCCTGCCCCTGCCCCTCATGGAGCAAAGACATGAGACAACAAACTGCTCACTGCCTGCCAATTAGTTCAATTAATTGGTTGAGTGCCAACTATGTGCCCAATGTTGTGCAAATTGCTAGGACATTTACTCATTCAACAAGCACTTGCACAAGGCTTTCTACGAAAGGGTACGGTTCCAGATGCTGGGGCTATATGCCGCCAGGCTAGGTATCTTCGCTCTGAGGAAGAGGGCAGCTCTAATGTAAAGTCAACCTTTCCTTAATGAGACAGTCAGGAAATTCTGCATATGATAGTTACCTGATGGTATGAAGACAATATTGATGCCAAATATGGTGTGTGTCAGCCAGGTGTACAATCCATAGAAGCCAGCCATTTTGAGGGAAGCATCAAATACCCCTCTAGAAGACCCAAAGAAAAAGTAAAAGGTAAATAACTCCGGCATCATATTTCGGTTTAGAAAAATCCTCACCTCTGGATCTTTGGTCACGTTATTCCAAACCTGGCAACAACTCATCTCTGAGAATACTATTTACTCAGCACAGCACTGGAAGCTGTGTATAAGCTGCTGTTCACACAGCTCCCTAATGAGAAGACATGCAAAACAACACATCCTAAAGCAACTCCTGCGGGGTGTCAAATTCAGGGCCTTGTGCATGCTACACAAGCACTCAACTGAGCTACAACCCCAGGCCCAACTTTCCAGTTCTTCTCCCTTCTTTCTTTTTAAGACAGGGTTTCTCTGTGTATTCCTCGCTGTCCTAGAATTAGTTCTGTAGACCAGGCTGGTCCGAACTCAGAGATCCGCTTGCCTCTGCTTCCTGAGTGCTGGGATTAAAGGCTGCTTAGCTAACTTTCTACTTCTTTTTTCTTTTTTGTGATTTTTCAGGGTTTTTTTGTTTGTTTGTTTCTCTGTAGCTTTAGTGCCTCTCCTGGAACTAGCTCTTGTAGACCAGACTGGCATCAAACTCACAGAGATCCACCTGTGCTGGGATTAAAGGTGTGCTACCACTACCGCCCAGCCTGATTTTCTACTTCTGAAGCAGGTTTTTCCTGGGTATAAATATCATGTGTCTAAAGACAGAATTAAGGTCTAAGAAACCCTTAGAAAGCTGCATCCATCCAGTCCACAACCAGAAAGAACAAGTGAGGCTGAGAGTATAGCTCCATAGTGGAACAATGTTCAGCACACTCCAGGTTCTGGGTTCAAGACTCATCATGGAAGGAAAAGAGGAGCAAAAGGGGAAGGAGGAGGGCAATGGGGGGAGAGCAGGGAAGGCAACAGAAGGAGGAGGGGAGGGCAAAGAGGAGTGGGGAGTAATCTAACTTATACTCTGGCATTTTTTTTCTTCTAACAATATTTTCATACATTTCAACAAAACCTACAAAGTAACTTCTGGTATCAAATAATTCATGTCATCTGGGGAGACGCATGACTATAAACTCTAACGAGGCAGGAACATTCAAGGAGTGAAAATAGGTTTATATCCTGCAGTTAAATCATTGTATAGTACATGAGGGTGCTTCATTTCCGCTTCTCCATTGGAAGAGAATAAGGCAGCTCTGTGTGGAAAAGGCAGCAGCCACAAATAACCTCAGGGACCATAAACCGCAGCGGCCAGGGCTCTGAAGGTGAAGCTGTCACTGCAAAAGAGGACGATGGCAGCACAGGTGACTGCACACAGCAGGAGCCAAGGCCAGCTCTGCAGTCGGGTGACTGTCGTCTACTTGGATGCTGAGACATGGTATCCAAGAACAGCTCCTCATCTGCAAAGTCACTGCCACCTTTACCAGTGGCATCACCCAAGAATGTGTGCTGCGATTCTCAGAACAACAACTCAGATGCAAATATATCAGAAAGAAGGAGGGGAAACACCCACAGGAAACAAAGAAACTGAAGAGTCCCAAGAAAAAAGAAGTGATAGGGAAAGAACAGTGATGTCTGATAAAAAAAAAATATTAAGGTTATAGAAATCTATTTTAAATTAACAAAAGCTAACAAACGTAAAAAACCTGTTAAGTTTTAACCAGTTATAGTGAAGCTGGAGGACTCTAGGTAAAACATTCCTCCACAACCTCTCAGCTTGGATCCAGCTCTCTAAGCACTGCAGCGAAACAACCAGCTACCCAGGAGGTGTTCTCAGGTTCCCCCAAAGATGGCTGTCGCCCAACAGGTCAGCAGGAAGCAGTCTCGAGAACTTGACACCCTCATTCCTTTAACCTGCCATTCCTAACTATTCACCTTTTTAACAAAAAAAAGGAGGAGGAGGAGAAGGAGGAGGAGGAGGAGGAGGAGGAGGAGGAATGTTAGCACCCAGGCACACTTTGGCTCTGCCCCTTGAACCTGGCACAGTGCAGTCACCCTTCTTCACATGGCAAGCAGTACCCTACTTGTATGCAGGTCCAAAGTCCCTTTAAGAGACAAACTCTGCCCACTCCAAATCTTTCTCTCTGTTTTTCTCTCTTTTCCCTTCCCTTTACCCCTTTCTCAATAAACTGTGCACTCAAGCTTTGTCTATCTGGCCTGTCTGTCTTCGCCCACCATGGGAACCACTACAGGTCCCACCTCACACCACAGTCCTCACAGCGTCAATGAAACCCTGTTAAGGAGAAAATAAAGGAAGGGAGGATGTCTGGTCTGGAAAGGGAAGTCAAAAGAACGATGGAAACATCTGGGAGGAGCTGACATAGCAGACAAGGCTTAGTAGGCACAAGGCACAGCAGTCTAATTACACGAAGGGAAAGGCACCCTCAAGAGACAAGCACGGAGAGGAAGAGAAAACAGGCTGTATCCTCAGCAGACCACAGGACAACGACCAATCAGCCAAAGAGCGGATGGAATCATTTCTGGGGCAGGAGTCAGAGAGGGGAAGAACCACATCAACTGCTAGGGTGAGGGCAGGGCCAGAGAACTTGTCCAGAATTAGTGAGTGGCGAGTGTGAGAAGTGTGGGTGTGGTCATACATTACAAGTCTTCACAGTAAAATTAAGTTGGCACCAAGGATACATAGTAAAGTAGCTCACTGAGGCCCCAACACCAGCTCACCCTGAAACAGACCACTTGTGTGACAAGCACAGGCTTCTTCCTTCCACCCTGAACTGGGGTTGTATGCAACAGTCACTACAGCAACTTTGAGCTAATCTGTAGACCCTAAGTATCTGCACTGCACACTGCTCACAGTTCCCAAGCATATCCTAGTACCACTGAGCAACAAGATAAGCTCCTGCCTGGACGGCATGGCTTGTGACCCGGCACATGTACATTAAAAAGCAGCCTCGCAGCACACTCTAAAAACGTACTCCAATCTCCCTTACACCACCCAGGAAGACCACAGCCCTGCTCCTATCTTCATCTTAAGACTTCTGGCTGCCCAAGCTAGAAAATAGGTTTTCTCTTTTTTAAATACTCAGTTCTTGATAATTTGGTATACTATCATCAATAGGAGGCAAACACAACTTTACTATTTAAACTGTAAAGATTATGTGAACAAGAGCCTGTAATACTGAGCTTATACTCATCTCCCAGATTGGGAAGCTGAGAGGTGGGGGATAGCTCAGGGGTAGACCACTCACCTAGCAAGTGAGGCCCTGGGTTCAATCCCCAGCATTTAAAAGCAGTCAGGATGCATCTACAACTAAACCACTACAGTAGCCACCAATGACCAGACAGCACAGTCAGTGCAGCCTACAGCTGCACATGGACATCTATTATACGATAAAAACCCGTTTCATAAACACGAGGGAATGAGGCTGAATAATAGAATCTGTGAAGAACATGTGTAAGGCACACGTGCGTGCGCGCATACACTCAAAATCTGACATAATTTGCTCTCCTAGTCAAAGAAAAGTTCATCAGGTACGAACTAATGAGCTGCAGACAATCGTGCACAATACAGTCAAATGTGCTAGCAGAATATACTTTCATCATTGTGAGAACAAAGTTTATAATGAAAAGCTACTTCATTCTCTCACTAGTGCCAATTAATCCACATCTTTTTTGGATAGCCAACAGTGTGCACACACCTACCTTGTTATCAAGGAAATAGTGTGCTACACATCACCCTATCATGTTCAAAATTCACCAGACTCAGACTTGGGGCATTTTTTAATCACAGTGTAACATCTGTGCTGTATGAAATTGAGGTGCCAACAGGCATTCCCTTCAAGACTGCTCACCATGACCAAAGACCTCAGGTCACGGTCACTACCCTAATGAGCATGTGCTCCCTGTTTCCTTCTGACTTGAGCCTGTTTTAGGCAGAGTTGTTTCTGCTCAACCTTCTGGAACTATTTTATCCCTGGTGATTTTTCAAGCATTATGGAAATTAGTTCTTTAATTGTGTCTCTAGGCTTTCCTAGCACTCAGCAAGTGACAAGAACCAAATACAGAATATGCTGGAAGCTCTTCTCCCCTCTTCTGACAGTTCAGTTAGCAATGGAAGAAGAAACGGACATCAGCGGTAGAGGCGTCTTTTCTAACCAGACCCCTTCCCTTACTCAGTCTTTCTGTCACTACAGACTGACAGGTGACCCCTGGCCCCACACCCGCTGACACCACAGCTCAGGTTCTGCTCTCTACCTGGTTTCTCAAAGGCAGGACATAAGTTCTAAAAGTTGTACACAGCCAGCCTTCCTTTCCTCTGCACCTTTGTTTTTCCATAACAGCCCCAAGAACGTCTGTGCCTAGTGACACTAAAGGTGTGGGTTTCGTGCCTCGTTTACACACTGACACGGCTGTGAGCCCACTCCCATTCTACCAACAGGAACTCGTCATTTTTCTAAACCCGGAAGAGACAGACAGGACAAGGTTGATCAGTCAGCCAGCTCTTGAAGAGATGAAGCCTGACAAGCTGTCAAGTGACAAAGCACAGCTCAGAAATGCCATGACTGGGCACACAGTGACACCTGCCACAGACAAGTAGGAAGTACACGGCTTAAGAAAACAAACAGAAAATGAGTTGAGTCCAAAATCAGACCCCACTGACTCTGCCTTTCTGTACATTCCTCCCACCTTTCTCTCTAAAGACCAAACAGAAGAGCACCAAACTATCCTGTCCCCAGGAAACATCCACCTAAGGGTACTCCACCTAGGCTACCACTCACCCACGGGACTCCACTCTCAATACACTACAGTGTGCCTCAAATGGACAATAAGCTAGTGAAGAGACCATGAGAGCAAGAGACGGCATGGACCATTCTGAATGAAGACAGCACCAGCTCCCCGATCGGCTATACCACCATTTCTTCCAATTCCTATACTATGAAACAAAAATTTTAGTTCTAACAAATTGAAGGTTTGATGCAATCCTGAATGTAGTCTATCAGACCCATTTGTCCAACTCAGCTGATCTCACAAAACATTTCAAGCAGAATATATACAATTATATTTAAGAGGCAATGTTATAAACTACAGGATAAACATATACTGTAGAGGTTAAGAGGGAAATCCAAAACTTCCTTCTTGTTTTATTGCAGTACCTACTTTAGGACAGAAGTCAGGAAGCAAATGCCCACTATCTCCTTGTTTGCACCTGTGCACCTGACCTCTCTTCCATTACGTCCTCTTTTCCCCTCTCCTGGTTCACCTGCCTCAGAGACCAGCTCCAGTCAATGCACAGAAACCCAGCAACAACACATTTCCAGTGGGAGAGTCAAGGTCATGGCTGTGCACGTGGCCCCAAATGCTACTGAGCAGTCCAGGGAGGCAGAGCTTACACGAGGAACAGCTGAGTCACAGACAGAAGCGGCCAACTCTGGACACCAAAGGAAGTCTCTGGTGGTCACAACAAATATTCATTCAGAACTTTTATATCATTAATACTTATTAATGTACATTCTGTATCTTTACTATGAATGATTAATGCTTAAAATTTTTAAAGGGTTTCAACTACATAATAGTAGACATCTGTACCCAAAACTTTTAAGCTCAATAAAACAAATGTAGCAAGTATCACAATGAAAAACTACATAAAAGACAAAGATTTTAGAATTATTTTCCTATGAAGTTAAATATTCAAGTAAATTACACTAACCTTTAATCTCTTAGTTGAGGCATAATTTGCTCCAGATAATTTAATTCCCCAAATATGCATAGGAAATTTTGTTTCTTTATTTCAATGCTATGGCATCTCAAACAAATAAAAATATTCCACACTTTTTTTTTTGGAGATTTTCTTTGGTCTTGCTATATAGCTCAAACTAATCTAAAATCACTATGTAGCTCAAACTGGCACAGAACTTACAACAATCCTCCTGCCTCAGCCTCCCAAATGATAGAATTGCAGGCACGTGCCACCACATCCAGCTTAAAAACACTTTTTTAAAAAAATAACTTTAGCCAGAGGTTAATGGTGCACACTTTTATCCCAGTACTCAGAGGCAGGCGGATCTCTGTGAGTTTGAGGCCAGTCTGGTCTACAGAACAAGTTCCATAGCAGTCACAGCTGCTCACAGAAACTCTTCCTCAAGTAGATAAATAAATAAATGGATGGACAAACAAGCAAACAAACAAAATAAATACATAAGTAGGCAAGTAAGTAAATAAAACTTTATATTTATTGTTGCACATTTTACTCTAAATGAGTATTATTTACAACTTTAAATCTGTAAGAATTTCATTCAGTCAATAATTCATTCAAATTTGAAACTGGAAACATCAATTTTCTTAAGGAACAACACTGACTTTTTAAAAATAACACTTTCAAGTTTTCAGAATTGGGGAAGAAGTAGAAGGTCCATTTTCTGAGTTAAATCTTTCAGAACATATATTCTCACATTTAATTAATTCATCACCAGGAGTTCCACCCTCCAGCACGAAAAAGCTGTAATCCCAGCAAGCAATAGCCACAGCCGTGTGCATGCACTCACGTGAAAATATCACACACACTAAATTGCACTAAGGCCGTGACAACATGCAACTTAGTCATGTGCAATACCCCCACCAGAGCAGGCAGAATGGGAGCACCAGGGAGAGGGTGGAGTATGCATTCGGAGACAGCATGCTGCTCAGGAGGAAAATGTGGGATCCAGGATGCATGCTACTAACTCAAACACCCTGAGATGGGATGAAAACTCAATGGCAAGGGCCCTCAATTTGGAGGGATGTGGATTTATACTTAAAATAATAAAGTTCAAAATGTCAAGGCCACAGTGAGCACAAATGAAACCACACAGCTCAGAGCACAAAGCTCCAGGGACACACTTCTGCCTGGTCATGCAATAAGCCGCTCCCAATCTCATTCCACATGTGATTCATTAAAGAATAATTTAATCAATGTTCGCTTGACCATACACTGATGAGCCATGACTTATTTATAAAATTGGTGTCACTAAACACTTACAGAATAAACTGAAAATTTTCCTATTTTTTTTCCCTATTCTTCTTTATCTTCATCCTCAAAGAATCATATTACTACTTAAACAATCCTTCAGAATGAAAATTCTTCCTCAGGCTCTTAAACAAGGATCACTGCCACCTTACCCTCCCCCCCCCACACACACACACAAGAGGGCTTGAGAGGAGCCCATGAAGAGGCTGAACTTGTTGAGTCTTTGTATAAGCTTGTAAAGAAACAGCAAAGGGCTGGAGCCTGGAAAGCCCACTCAGCCATAGCTGAGAAGTGGCTGTCTGAGATTTAAGCCCACCTATTAGCTTTCAGACCCAATAGGATCATAGAGATGATACTAAACTCCTTCCTCCCTGCATATTAAATGATGAGACCTGGCATGGTACTCATGAAAAGAGAGAGAGGATATCAAGTTCAAGTTCAAAGCCAGCCTGGGTGACAAAGCAAGATCCAGTCTCAAAAAAAAATAAAAATAAAAGAGAGAGAGAGAGAGAGAGAGAGAGAGAGAGAGAGGGAGAGTGGGGTAAGAAGAGTACAGAAGTGTCTTGTGTAAAGTTAAGCAACTCAGTGTCTGTCAGTTGCTCACTTTGAGAAAGTACCATAAGAACATTCCAGAATTGTAATCGGAGAAAGGTAAAGCTTCTGTGAGAACAAGGGTGCCAATAGAGGCTCCAGTGGGAAGCTGGAGCACTGGTCTTTAGACCAGTGGGCTTCCTGGCAATGCATGGGTCTTCCCACACACCTTGGCCTCAGTCATACGGATGGAAGGACTGGCACCAGACCAAATTTGAAAAGGCAATTTTAGTGGCTTTATGCTACTGGGAAGAGAGGAGGGTTTTTTGTTTTGTTTTGTTTTGTTTTTTTCCTTTTGGGAGAAGAGTATTTGCAAAACAAACTTTTTAAAAAGTGGATAAATAGGGACTGGAGAGATGGCTCAATGTTTAAGAGCACTGGCTGCTCTTCCAGAGGACCTGGGTTCAATTCCCAGCACCCACATGGCAGCTCACTACTGCCTGTAACTCCAGTTTTAGGGGGATCTTCACACCAATGCACATGAAATAAAGTTAAATAAATAAATAAAAAGACTTATTTTTTAAAAAGTGGATAAATAAAAGATAACCTATTGTTGCAATTTTCATCATTTTATTTATCCAGTAAGGATGCCAGAGGTCACAGAGACATGAAAGGGATGTTAAAACTATTCCACTAACAGCAATCACTTGGGAAGTTCCAGTGTTAGATAATATACTCCCAAATGGAATCTTATATGATGGTTCCTCATGAACATGCAAATACAGGTGATAATAGTACATTGGACTTCTAACGATCAAAAAAAAAAAAAAAAAGGCCAGATGACAGGCAATTCAATCCAAGAAGAAAATATTGATAAAGACCTCCCCCAGGCTTCACAAGTAGGAATGAGAAGAAAACGGCAGAATTTCTAGACATGAGCTACTTTAGGAGTGCACATGCTTTTCTAGAATGTAACTGAGGATTCTGAAGAACATAGTGGTTGTCTCCCTAGCTGTTCCATGAATACAGAGGAGCAGTAGCCAGGAGAATGCAGAAAGGACTGCCCGGTCATTTAAGTTTCTTGGATGACTAGTTTCAAACAACGGCACCTTTTGGACGTATACAGAAACAGAAATGCCAGAGGTTCCATGTGTAACTGAGTCTAAGGCCGCATAGCTAACGACCTGGTGCTGCTGAGCATTTACAGAATGAACTACATGTTTCATAATTGCTTGTCCAGTCCTTAGTAGAAAGAAGGGTCTGATGGGTGGCACAATTATTTACTTTAAACAGTTAGGTATCCACAAAAATAAGACTACAGTGTCTCTAATTAGGCAATGAGACAAGGGCAAAGAAGGAGCTAAAGAGGTCAAGGTTGCAAAAGGGCAAAGCCCTACCAGAAATAGAGGAAAAGAGAAGGACCAAGGAGCCTAAGGGGTGTTGAAGGGGAAGAATCTCAGTTAGAAACTGAACCTGCAATACACACTCTAGAAACATGCTTCATGGAAGTTTTTGTCCAGATACAGTGCAGAAACTTGGAGATGACTAAACACTGCGTTTCTAATAACCACCTTAGCCCTGCAGAGAGCACAGCTTCGAACAAAAAGAGAATCAGCAGGGTCATCTGCCCTCATAATAGATCCAAGCCAGCACTCCTGAGAACAGAAAAGGGTCCCAAGGAGGGGAAGACTGTATGGTGAAAGATGGGGGAGGGGGTTCTCCTGAGCAAGCGACAGGAAGATGGAATCCAGATGGAGAGCCTGTTTATGGAAAGCCCACCTGTACCCACAGGCAGCAGAGTGAGGGGCAAACTAGTTGGAACGTCTCCTCAAAGCACAGGCCCTGCTTCTAGTACCCTCTGAAAGTGAGAACAGGGTCCTGAAAACACCAACATCCTTCACTAGTTTAACACTGAATATTCCTATGAAATGCAAGGCAGGTAACTGGGATGTCATGGAAAGCTTATGAAAGGAGTAAGAACAGCAAAAGCCTTGTCCCTACCTGATGGCTTCTTCCACAGACTGGCCAATAATATTAGAAGAAGGGCCTGGCTGAGACAGTGGTGTCAGGCTTATCACCCACTTCACTGGCTTGTAGTACTCATCACTGGAACTTAACAGATAAAACAGTGTGGTCAGGAAAATTATCTGCAAAACAAAGGACAGTATCTCCTAAAAGATCACATTTGGGAACCTACAGAAGACACACATGCACAAATACAGAGCCCAGAAAAACGCTGTGAAGTGTAAGGAAATACAGTGTGCGCTATCTAGATGTACATACCAGGGACAGCACGAAGTTGAGAAGGGCAGTGCCACTGTAGAAGAGGATAGTCAGCAGTGTGGTAACCGTGGTGAAGAGCAGGCTCACATTCCGGCTCATAACAATCCACAGGGACTCCAAGATCTGATGGAGAGAACAGCTGCGTTAGAACTAAACCTCATGAAGGGAGTAGCTCCAGCCATCCAGTGTGCTATTGGTGCACTGTCTCCCTTATTAGTCCTAATGGAAGAGGCAGGAAACTGATACTTACCTCAAAGGTAGAGAAAAGGCACCCAGAAACATCTACGTTCAATAGTAAGGAAAATGGCTAAGTAGTTAAGTGAATCCACTCCAAATAATACTTTAAGTACTAAAGCAACTATCAGAGACATTTCATTTTATTTTTTTCTATTATGCTGGGTTTTGTCTGTTTGTTTTGGTTTGGTTTTTCAAGGCAGAATTTCTCTGTTTAACAGTCCTTGGAACTTGCTTTGCAGACCATGCTGACCTCGAACTCAGAGAGATTCACTTGCCTCTGCCTCATGAGTGCTGGATTAAAGGTGTGTACCACCATGCCCAGCTTCTCTTACTCTGTTTTTAAAACACAGAATTTTTATACATTTTACAATTTTTAACGGTAAGACACAGAACACATATGCATGTCTACAGAAGAATGAATATGTGAGCACACTCTCCATGGTTCTGTTTATTTTGGAGGGTTATAAGTGCAGGTCACTCATTAAACTAGCTGTCTATTCTCTACCCTTATCACTGCCAACTCAGATTGAACTATAAATATAATGTATTATTCCAATGACTTGAAATCGCAATGGAAATAATGAACACACAGGATCAATGGCAGAGCATTTCCTGGGACAGATGGAGATGACTCAGTTCACCAAGTCCCTACAAACTCCCGAGAACCCGTAGTCAAGAGGGTGGTGCATGGGTTAGATGTAAAATATGGCTGAAGGGTGATTGTCGCTCTCCCATCACACCTCCATGTTTCCGTTTCTTGCCCCTTCATCAACTAAAACCCCTTATAATGTCTGTTGTATTCTTCCCAAGTGGGTTCTTCCGACTGATAAAAACATGGAAACAAAATGGTCAAGAGGACATGTTCTGTTCAAGTGCTGGATGCTCAGCGCTGTGAGGGCAGCAATGCGGAGGGCTTTATCTCAACTGTACGGACATGAACTCAATCACAGAGGCTTGCTGCAGCCAGGAAGGAAACCCTGATACCTGCATTCCACTTTGGTGCCTTTTGAAGAGAGCAGCTCTGGACCTGCCACATGCTCAAGGTATGGCATGCAATCCATGGGAGGCCTGCAGTCCATGTGAGGCCTGTCCATTCCTCTCCCACCTCCATACACCATTTATAAAAGACAGTCTGTTGTTCTCAGAATGTCTTGCAAGCCTCAGCTGAGTCTTCATAAGAGAATTCAACAGACAGGCTTCATTTACAAAAACTCCTTACAAAAAAATCTTGAAAATGCTTCGTTATGCCTACAAAAATATGCACGATTAACTGTTTGACTTTGTGGGATAAAGAATGAATGAACAAAGCCACTGATTCTAAGAAACAATGTCTGTATTTGTAATTTGGCAAGCATTCTTTTGGGAGCCTCAGTCACTCTGGAATTTTTAATCAAAAAAATTTACATAGTTTCTGAGTCATAGAAATAGAAAACATCCTCCTGTAATTTTTAAAAAATTAAATGAATATAGCAATTGTAGAACGGCAGTCTCCACCAACAACCCAGTAACCTTTTTATTTGAAAGGGGATCAACTAAAGCCAGAGAGGACAGTTCTGGGGTGTTAACTCAATCATCAAAGGAGAATTTTAGTTTAATCATCAGGGTTGGAAAGGAGGGTATCAGTAAAGGCAGGATCAGTAAGAAAGCCCACAAACTCAGAAAAATGCAACAGATTTGTAGAAGCAAAAGTGCATCCCAACTCAAAAATGGCAAACATGAGCCAGGGCCAGCATGAATTTAATCAACGGGCAACATAACCAAAAAGATGCCTAGAACCGAGTTCCTGGCCATGAAGTGTAAGCCCAGAGGAGACTCACAAGCAGTTAAGCAACTTGGTCACAGAAGGCAATTAGAATTAACACGGAGCCTGGCTCAGCAGCCTCCTGCTTTGCTGCCTCCCTCCACTGTCATCCAATCAACCTTGGCCTCTTATATGGCTTCTCAGGTACTTCTGAGCTCACCTGCTATGGAACCCAAGAAGCAGAAAAACAGAATACTGTAGGGATGCAGGGGTCAAAATAAGAGAATATCTCTGTGGTGGTTTGAAAGAAAATGGCCCCCACCGGAAGTGGCACTATTAGAAGGTGTGGCTTTGGTAAAGAGGGTATGCCCTTGTTGGAGAAAGTGTGTCATTATGAGGGTGGGCTTTGAGGTCTCCTTTGCTCAAGCTACGCTCAGTATGATACACAGCTCACCTCCTGTTGCCTATGGATCAAGATGTAGAACTCCCAGCTACTTCTCCAGCACCATCTCTGTCTGCACCATGTCCTGCCATGATGATAATGGACTAAACCTTTGAAATTGTAAGGCAGTTCCAATGAAATGTTTTCTTTTATAAGAGTTGCCATGGTCGGAGACTGGAGAGATTACTAGTGGTTAAGAGCACTGAGTGTTCTTCCAGAGAACCTGGATCAAATTCCCAGCACACACATGGCAGCTCACAACTGTCTGTAACTCCAAGATCTGACACCCTCACACATACATGTAAGCAAAAACACCAATGCACATAAAACAAATAAATTTAAAAAAATAAAAGATTTCATATAAATGTATTTTTTTAAAAAAAAAAAAAGAGTTGCTGTGGCCATGGTGTCACTTCATAGCAATAGAAATCCTACCTGAACAACCTCTCTCCTGCAAAAATGCAGTTATTTCCCTGTCAGTCTAGAAGCCCAGAGATATGGGCTACATGAGCTCCACTGACCTTCTCCGGTTCATCTTCTAGGAAGAGAATTGCACCAGGAGGCCTCAATATACCATCTCAGCTCTGCCATTGTTCTTTTAAGCACAAAAGCAATAAAGGCAAGCTGTAATATGCCTCTTTTCATTAGTTTAGTTGACAATACAACATGAGGTCATATTCTAAAGTAGTGATAAAGAATTTAAAATCTAGTTGGAGGACATGGAGAAATGGCTCAGTGATTAAGACCACTGCAAGCAGGGCAGTGGTAGCACACACCTTTAATGCCAGCACTTGAGAGGCAGAAGTAGGCAGATCTCTAAGTTCTAGGCCAATCTGGTCTACAAAGTGAGTTCTAGGACAGCCAGAGCTCTTACACAGAGAAACACTGTCTAAAACCAAACAAACAACAAATCAAACAAAAAAAAAAAAACACCATTGACCCAGATTCGGTTCAAAGCACCCACATGGTGGCTCATAACCATCTGTAACTCCGGTTCCAAAGGATCTGATGTCTTCTCCTGACTTCCACAGACACTGCATACATACAGGCAGGGAAAACACTCACACATACACTAAAAATAAATATACTTTTAAAATTCCATTCATTCAGAAAGACTGAGCACCACAACTGAAAACAGTAAAATATACTCAAGTACCAAATAAGGGTGAAAACAATGACCTAGGAGGATCTGAATGTAGAGGAACCTCCATGTGTTCTGAAACACTCTAGGGGGAACTGAGGAACGTGTGTAGAGTAAACCTTTGATCCTAGCACTCTAGAGGCATAGGTGGACAGATCTCTTTGATCAAGAAGCCAGCAAGGGCTACAAAGGAGACCATGCTTCAAAAAAATCAAAACAAAACCAAACAAAGCAAAGGATAAAACAAAGATAGAAAAGTGTGAAATGAGACCCAGAGCTTTCCTGAGGTGGAAACCTGTTCTGGAAGATCACAGCATGCTACCCAACTTGCTGGCCCCTGAGGCAGAGAAAAGAAAAACTGGATGCAATGTTAACCGCTTTACTGTCACTGAATCTGTTACTAGGACAAGAGCAATTTCATCAGCTCCCCAGGAACTCGAGGATAATAAATTGGAAAATATTTATAAAACATCTGGGTGGCACTTGTCATAAACTAGGGATCCCAGGGAGACGGCTCAGTGGATCCCCAGAACCCAAGTAAAAGCTGCCAGAAGAGATGGACTCTGAGGAAACGGTCAGCTCTGAGAAAAGGCACGGCTGTGAGTGAGTGAGTGGGGACTGGGCACGGCAGCCTTCTCACTGGACAGCAGGTCTATGAGACATGCAAAAGACGTGCTACCAGGTGGACCCGTCCTCCAAAATGCAGCAGCAATAAAGAGCAACAGTGAGAGCTTCCGCTGAACACAACATCTGAACTCCCCCTTTTAAAAAATAAATTCATACTTTTAGGAATTTGAATAGGCTATTTTTAAAAGCTCTTTCGTTCTGGAGAGAGAGGTGGGTATACCTCAAGAATGTGATTTATAATATTGTTCAATAAACTTTCAGTATTTTGAAAGTATACAGTTATGAACAAACCAATATCCTGAATAACCAATGTATAGTACCAAATCATACAAGGGTAAAAGAAACATCTTTAACCGAAATTGGCCAATGGACTTTGATAAGCCAGAATATAAAAAGATTACTACCAGCTTCACAGTTCAAGCTGCATAGACCTTTTAAAAACAGCCTGTGCTGATTCTGGATAGTATCTGGAAAGACTGTCCACAACTACAAGCTGGAAAAGCTGCTTTTTCTCATCTATCTGTACAAGACCTTCCAAAGCAAGGGGGAGTGGGGTGTTCAGCTCACGATCTCGCTGGTGAGTTTCCCTCTGCCCTACTGTGTGAGAATGGATGTTTTTTCCATGAATTGGCCAAAATTAGCATATTCCAATAGACTAAATATAGAGCAAAGATGAACTCCAGACATAAAATTGGTTTGTGCAAGCTAAGAGGCCTTAAGTAACTCTTCTACAGACAGTTTTCTATAGGTAACTTCCTAATATTTTTCACCTTGGATAATAGCATTGTGTATGTGTGTACATTTGTGTGTAGGACACGTGTGCTTATGTACGCATGAAAATGGAAGCCAGAGGCCAACAGCAGGTGTCCTCCTTAATCACTCTACTTCCTTGTTTTGAGATGGGGTCTCTTACTGCACCTGAGTGCACGGACTCACACAGACTGGCTGTCCAGCACAGTCCAGGATCTGCCCGCCCCGGCATCCCACTCCACCTCCAGCCAGCACTGAAGTTAAAGAAGTGTGCTTCCACCTCTGACGCACTTCCGTGGGTGTGGAGGATTGGAAGTCATGTCCTCATGCTTGGACAGCAAACACCTTAACTAAGACATTTCCTCAGACCCAGAAAATAGTATTTGTAACACACTAAAGTATTCTTCATGTTATAATGAAAATTATTTAATAAATAAATATGCACTTTGAAGTCCAGTACTAAATCCTTTGAGAACCACTGGGCTAGTAGAAGCAGAGGGAAGGGGTTATCAAAACAGAATAGCTGGGCACGCTGTCAAGTGCCTAAAATTTGAAGAACTTTGGAGACTAAGGCAGGAGGTCTGCTTGAAGCCATGAGTTGAGGGACAGTGTGGGGAACATAGTAAGTCCCCATTACTTAATTGAGTAAATTATTAATTAAAACATAAAAACTAAAGACGTCAATTTTTCAGATTTCACTCCAGATTGTGAAGCACCTCAGGCAAGTGAGAGAAAAGGCAGCGGTGAGCGCAGGGAGGTGGCTGAGTGAGCTGTGAGAAACCCAAGACAAGTGTCAGAAAGACTGAAGGGTTTGTAAGAAAGACACATCGTTACCTTCATCTTCCATATTTGGAAGCCAAAAGATAATATCTAAAATGGCAAAACAAGAAAGAGCAACATAAACATCAGTCTAGCAATCCAGAGGAAAACACCAGAGAAGACTGCCCTGCAGCAGGCAGTAGTCCCGGGTCCAGCGTGTGGAAACACAGGAGGTCCTGCCTCCAGCTATGTCAGATTGCTTCGCTCAGCTGAAATTCCTTAAAACTTAGTACTGTGGCCTCAACTCATTTTAATTTGATGAAGTCACACATATATTCACAAGAAAAATCTTCTCTGTGAAAAGTCACATGCCAAGATACCCGACAAAATCGGCTCTGGGAAAAGAAGGGAGGTAATCAGCACTCAGCAATGTGTAAGGGTGCAAGATGGATGAAGCACGGTGAGAGCTGGGAAGCCAACAGTCTAAGCCTTGACAGTCTGTGATGGTCTGAACAGGAACAACCCCCACAGAGTCATGTATTTGAATGCTTGGCCCATAAGGCTCGGCACTATTAGGAGATGCGGCTTTGTTGGAATAGGTGTGGCCTTTTTGAAAGAAGTGTGTCACTGTGGAAGTGGGCTTTGAGGTTTTATATGCTCAAGTGTGGCACACAGTGTTCATTCTGCTGCCTGTAATTCAAGATGTAGAACTCTCAACTCCTTCTCCAGCACCATGTCTGCCTGCACACTGCCAAGCTTCCTGTGATGACGATAATGGACTAAGTCTCTGAACTGTAAGCCACCCCAAGTAAATGTTTCCTTTATAGGAGTTGCTGTGATCATGGTATGGCTTCACAGCAATAGAAACCCTAAGACACAGTCAATCCCGCTAATGGAACTGGACCCCTAGTTTTAGATGTCAAGGGCTTTACCAACCAGAAAAACACAGGTCTATTTCTAATGGTCCAGCTATAAGAACATTCTGGTGATCCTGGGGGACGAGGACACCCATCTAAGACCCCAAGTTCATGTGCTCCCCAATTCAGCATCTCTTTGGTATTCTCACCAGGCCTGGGGAGCCAGACTTGAGGACTGCAGCTTCTGGGTGGCTTCCCAGTTTAAAGTTCTCAAAGCCTGTACATTTCTCAGCATTCCAGACAGAGCAGACTGATACAAGAAAAGTCAGAATTACAGCTTTTCTTCCCAAGTTCAGTTCAACAATAACTACTATGTCTTACCGAAAGAAATGTTTCAATGTTCTCATGAACGAAGGAGGCAATGTCTTGCCAGTCCAGAATGTCTCCCAGCCAGCTGTTCTGACGATTAACATGCATCTTGTGCCCTTTGTGCCTTCCAGAGTGTGTCACGTTCTGTGGAACAAAGCCAGTGACATGCCAGATCTTAATGCATCCAAAAGATTAATGTCTCTTTTGTTTGATACCTGCTTATACACACTTCAGCAAGTACTCACCTAAGAAAATCCTTACAAATTTAAGCTATTAAGTAAGGGTTCACCAAAAGACTGGGAGTGCAGGATTTCTGCATTCACATTCTAGCTACTGTGTCTAGCATGATATACATGGTTCCCTCCTGGTTTTGAACTTACAATACTCCTCCGTGTGCACAGCACCCAAAGAGTTCACATATATCTTCTTCATTTCCTTTTGCACCTCCACCTTTTCTTAGTTTCCTACCTTCATCTTTTTCTCCTTTCTCAATCATCTACACAAGGTAAAGCGGAGAGAGAAGAGACTATTTCAGAGAATCAAACATGGGGGGGGGTCGTCAAATTTGTCTGTCTCTCTGTCTGAAAGAAATTTACACAGGCAGGAAACACTGAACTTGAAAGGAAAATGAATAAACAAAATGAGGTTAAGAACGAGAAGCAAGCTCTCAATATTTCGTGTTCCCACCTTGAATGCGACTCTCACATTGTAAGAGCATGAAAGAGAACCCGCCACTCTCCCATGTACAGATCTGTGCTCAAGAATCCAGCACTCCAACAACAATGGGGCTCAAGTAGGGGGACAAGAAAAGCTACATGCTAAGAAGCTCCAGAGTGACCACAGGAAACTAGTAAGATCTTCCTAATTGCTTAGCTCCTCCGATAGAATCAAAGAGAAAATACTTCATCTCGTACACCACTATTAGCTTTAACACTCAGTCTTCGCCACCAAGGTGATACTCGTCCCTCCTCTCCTCTCAGGGCAAGACTCACTGCGAAACACATCACTAAGCAAGAAGCTGGAACCTAGCTACCCTCCTCTCACACGTTCTTCTTGTGAAAAACAGTACTTCTGCCCCACTATTCCTAGAACACTGCCCTGAGCAGCCCACCAGACCTGGCATACACAGAACTGCTTCCCAAGTCATTGCTAAGCTTAGTGGTAGCTGTACTTGTTCTACCATAAACCTAAAGAAAGAGTACCTAAAGCTGGCTGGAAATGAGCTCTAAAGTTTAGATCCATTTCTGTCTCCTCAAAGAAAAAGGCTTCCACTGTCTAGAATTCACCTGCCCCTAACAGGAGCCACTAGCCACACAGAGCTACCAAAATGTGGCTCACACTAAATCTGAGCTGTGCTGCTGGTGTAAAGTGCACACTATAGAGTTCAAAGACTTAGCTGTTTTAGGCATATAAAATATCGAATTTGTTTTTATTAGGTATATACTGAAATGGCAGTGGGAACACTGAATTAAATGAAATATATTATTAAAATTCTCATCTCTTTTTAGTCATTTAATATTCTTGTCTGTGTTTAGTTATTTAATGCAGTTACTAGACAGATTAGTGTCACACATGTGGCTTGCAGAAGCTTGGGGTGCAGCTAAGTGGCAGATCTTGTGCTTATTAACACATAAGACCCCGGGTTCAATCCCCATCACCAGAAGTACATAAACAGATGTGGCTTGCATTACACCTGCCCTGTCCCGAGATACTGCAGAGGAGGAGTTATGTTATGAGCAAAAGATGGAAGGCTTATACCCCAGAGAGACTAACCACCAATGGAAGCTGACAAAGGCTTAAGTTCTCACTGCCGGAAAGTTAAAGTAAAGGATATTCCAAATTTAATAAAATTCCATTTTCAATTAGTCTATACAGCAAAACGATGTTATTAGTTACTGTGGAAACTCTTCGCTAAAAGAACTCACCTTCACAAACCAAGAGTGATACAGTCTGTCCCACAGTTCTAGAACTTGCTTCTCAATCACAGCTGTATTGTTCACCTTATCTCCTAGAATTTTGTGAAGCTAGGAAAAAAAACAGGTATAATCTGATTAATATTTTAAGTAACAATTCAGTATGATTGATACATACATGCTGAGTCTTTATTTGTCCTAAATCTTAAAAATCTTTAGTCATATTATAATATTTTCTAAAAGATGCCTCCGTGCTCTAATGAATTCTCCATCTTCTTTCTCATCCTCCCACTTCTCCTCCTTTTAGGTCGCAGGGTATAAGGGAACAATGCAAATGCTTAATGACCTATTTGACCTTACCTACCCAGAGGAAAACCTTTTCCCTGCAAGCCTACAGCTCATCTGTAATGTTTACATCTTGCATTACTCTTGTATGATTAAGGGTTACTGTACAACTCTTACAGAAAACTTAGGACCTTACACACAAGCACAAATCTTTATGAGTTAGCTGAGACAGGCCAGGACTGGAAGGACATGCGTCTGTGAACTTGAACGGAACAGTACAGCTTACAGACACTGTAGAATTTCATCCTATTTCCTTATTAGAACCATGTTAACAGATCCAAGAAAACATCAGTAGGATATCATTTGTCTAGCATGTGCAGAACATTTGGTTTAATCCTTAGCATAGGCAAAAAAAAAAATTTTTTTTCAAAGACTATTTTATTTTTGTATGTGTATGTAGTGGGCAGGGATAAGAACAAATGCACACATAGGTATGGAAACCAAAGGTGGATACCAGGCATCCCCCTCAGTCACTCTCCTTTTAGAGAGTCTCAATAAACCTGGAGTCACCAGTTTAAACTAAACAGGCTTGTCAGTAAGGCCAGAGATCCTCCTGCCTCTATCTTCCAGCACTGAGATTACACAGCTCACTGCCACGTGTGTGTACACTGGTTTCTTCTTTTGTTCTTTTGTTTTGGAGACTGGGTCTCTCTTATTCGTAGTCTAGGCTGGCCTCCAACGCAGAGATACACCTGCTTCTGCTTCCAGAATACCAGGATTAAAGGTGTGGATTGGGGTTTATTTACATGGGTGCAGGGGAATCAAACTCAGGTCCTCATGCTTACACTTCAAGAACAATCTCTCTAGTCCCAAAAACTATTTTAAAAGACAAGCATTAGTTTGTAGTTTTATTTTCTTAAAACAACTAAGCTTTCCTTCTGGGTTTATTTCAAGTACCACCTAAAAGCACTTACTCTAGTTCCAGCCAGACACACAAACCGACAGAAAGAAACAAGGATTTAGAGTCAGTCACCAGTGAGGCTGTGAGGATCTGCTGAGCCTGCCCAGCCTGTTTTCTCATCAGGAAGGCAGGTAAACTAGCTCAAAGTACTACTACAGGAAGCTTAGAATGCTAAATGAACCTAGAAACTGCCAAGCACAGTAAGCAGCAGATACAGGATTCAACATGTTTGCACCAGTTCTTTTTTCCTCCACAAAGTCTTATTTAATCACTCGAGTTCTGTGATTATCCCATCCTAAAGCACAAATAAATCAGATCTATCTTGAAAGAAAGAAAGTAAACAGTCAACTTCAAGACTTTTTAGGCCACAAGCACTGTTCAGTGTGATATCCTAAGAGTTTCATTCTACTTTATGGTTCTTGTCCACCTGTAGATGCAATGCATTTCAAAAATGGAAATTGCTCCAAAGAGAATCTTTGCATATCCTCTATCAAAGGAAGAAGTTGCTCTGTAAAATTCCTGCTCACAGAAAGGAACGAGGAAGGTTCACTCCTACCTTGTGGGTTATCCATTCCCGTCCATACTGATATACATTGTTAGCTGCAGAATTAAGGGCTCTTTGGACCACTTGAGCTTCAGGAAGCCAACTGATAGAAAAGACAGAAAGAGAAAATGGAAAAAGCCCATTTTGGGTATATTTTCTAACAATGCTTTGAACTAAAGCTACCAATAACAAATTATTGATCCATCACTAACACAGAGAACATCTGATACCTAGGCCTGATGATGTCCTCACTTCCTTACCTTGTCGAATGGTAATGTATACCCTGTGTCATTATATGCTGGGCGCATGTATAACACGTTTCTGATTTTGATTTTTACAAGAGGATTACAGTTAAAGAGATTCCCATGTGTCTCAGAAGAGACTGGACTTTGAAACAAGTTTGAGACTTGGGGACTTTTAAAGTTGAACTGAATGTATATTTTGCATTAGGATGTGGCTATAAGCCTCTTTATAAGAGTTGCCATGGTCATGGTGTCTCTTCATAGCAACAGAAACCCTAACTAAGACACCTGCCTAGTCAAACAGGGGACATGAATCTAGAGCACTGAGATATTCAACATCTGACAAGATTCTCAAAGTGTGGGTCATGGACAACTAGTACCCAACCTGCTTGGGAACTTGTTAGAGAGGAAAATGCCTGAGCCCAATCCCAGATCTACTGGAAAAAAATTGTGTACCCTAAGAAGTCCTACAGGTGTCTGAGACCCACAAGTCTAAGGAAGTGTAAAACTAAGGAAGAATCCAGAAAGTAAGAGGGTAAACTAATATTTTTCCATCTTTTATCCACTGATATTTTGATATGGAGTCTCTTCACAAAGCTCCAGCCACACTAAGAACTGCAAGGTTTCCATATACTAGATACTGGTATCCACAAGTTTAATAGCTCTGGCTCCAATTATCCATAATTCACACGGAAAGACCAAAGCAATAGTATCTATGTGCTTATTTTTCTAAGGCTCAAATATGATGCGTGCTACCAAGCTGGCTCATGGAAAAGAATCAGCGCACTATTACAGTTAACAGCTTCAATTCTTAGCAGCTTCATGGATGTGTATGTATAAGATGATCATACCGAGAAGCTGATTGCTGCTAATAGCCACAAAAGTTAAGATGTCTAGAAAACGTTTTTTCATAAGGAGAAAAAAAATAAACAGAAAATGTCAGGCATGGGGATATGTGCCTGCAATTTTGTTATTTGGGAGTTTGAGGAAAGAGTGTCTGAGTGTTAGGTCAGTTAGGTCTGTCTGACCTTCAGAGTAACAGGAGAAACTGTTCCTAATCTTAAGCCTATGTAAGCCTACTCTTAAACCGACTCCCTACACTATTCTAGTTTATCAAAGCTTTGGCAAACCGTATCTCTTCTTTTCCAGTGTAGCTACATCAATGAACACTGTTCTGCGCATCCAGACACTGAAACTAGGTCACCCAAGGGTATCCTTTTTCAAAACAGTAGTCTTACTTTGCCCACTCTGGGTGATTTGCTAGAGTTTCATTAATCAGATTGCTTGTGACTTCAATCATATGTACACTTTCTTGATGTACCTGTAATATAAGTAAAAAGAGAAAAAAAATCAGTAAGTAATAAACCTGATTTAAAATATCTTTATCTACTCTGATAAGATGAAATAATTATATATCTTGGTTTTATGAATTTAGACGTGGTACTTACAAGTTGTTATACATAATGTCCTATGATATACACTGAAAGATATGCATATATACCTTCCCTGTTTTCAAGAAGCTCAACAATCTGCCTTAAAAAAAAAAACCTCAAATACTAAACTCATAGACATAATAAACAAAGCATCTATTCACACGTATATACATAAGTACAGATTATGTGCATGCTTATGTGTTTTCATATGCAATACCAAAACTGTGAACTATACAGTAACTGTGCATGGCAAGATACACAGATAAGAAAACCACCGCTATCGTCTGTGTAGTTCTGCATATAGAAAAGCCATTGGGAACAAAAACTGAACTTGCCTTGTTGTGATGGTTTGAATAACAATGGCCCCATAGGTTCATACGTTCAAATGCTCAGTCATCAGGGAGAGAACTACTTGGAAGGATTAGGTGTGGCCTTGTTAGAAGTGTGTCACTGTGTGTGGGCTTTGGGGTTTTAAAAACCTACACCAGATTTAGGCTGTCTTCCTGCTACCTGTGGAATAGGATGTAGCTCTCAGCTACCCAGCACCATGTCTGCCCGCATGCTGCCATGCTCCCCGCCATGATGAAAAAGGACTAATCCTCTGAAACTGTAATCAAGCCCCAATTAAGTGCTTTCCTCTGAAAGAGTTGCTTTGATCCTGTTCTGTCTTCACAGCAATAGAATGACGACTAAGATACTTGCCCAATAACTAACAAAATGAGGGGGATAAAGATAGGATACACCAAGTTTTCTTTGCCACTTTAGTTCACCTAAACTATAGACTTTTTAGGAGTTGTAGTTTCTATTTAACAGATCTAAAACCTAAATCTTTAATCAATATAACTTACTTCAAGCTAATACTGACTTACACCCACTTGAAGTAACTGCTCATCAACTCAGCTCCATTTCCCCAGCCCTTTCTTCGTGCTGTGGTATACCACTACACATAACATACACGAATAGCTCATCTTTATAGCAAAAGGTCTAGAACAATGTCCCACAGGTTTTCTTTACATTGTTACAGTCTTTAAACAAACTAAAAGAACACAGAAAAACAAGAAACTTTTCCATATGCCCGTGTATTTTCCTACTCCCGCCTACGGAACCAAGGGATCTATGCTGTCCTTCTCTTCGGAAGTCATCTTTCACTCTGTGTCTGTCTTAGAGATGAGGTCTCCCTGAGGCTCCGGCTGGTGACAGCTGTGCTCCTTACACTGTAGCTTTCCTTACAGTTCACATCTGCCACCAATGGATTCTCTGTTGAATTTATCTGGAAATGGTTCTCTTTTGCCTTTATTTTTTATGAAAGGGAAGAGAATCAGGTGGGAACTGAAGCCAGTGTCTTGGGCACACTGACCACGTGCTAGGCAACACGGCCATTCTTCAGCTCCTTAACCTTTAAAGAACAGTTTCACTAAACAAAAAATTCTTGGTTGTCAGGCTTATTGTTCTACACCTTTAACTCCATCACTTTGTTTTTTGGTATGACTTCTCAGTAAGAAAACTTTTTAGCAATTGTTTTGTTCCCTGGTGTGTGATGTGGCTACTTCCTTCAAGAGTTTCTTTTTATCTCTGGCTTTGAACAGCTTCACTAGGATGACTGTGTCTGTTCATTCTGAGGTTTGTTGAAATCTTTTGAACAAGTTGCTCTGTATCTATCACGAGATGTTTTCAATCATTTTTTCTTCTAATAGTTGTTTGAACTTTTTTGCCTTCCTCTTCCCAGCTCTTACATGCCAGCTGCATGCTACCAGCATGTTTGCTTGCCCCTTTGAGCTCTGGTCACCTCTAGCTAGACTTCACCATAATTTCACAGCTACAACTGGCATCATTTTCTGGAGAGATGTGAGCAAACACTGAAACACTCCAGACAGAACACTGACAACAAACAGAAGAAAGTACTCCACTCAAGCCTAGCTCAGTTAACCTGCAAGTTTAATTCGAATTGCTCATGGACATGTAGGTGAGGTGTTACCTACAAGAGAATGGGCGACTATACAGGTAACTTTAGCACCAAAGGGAAAAGTCACACCCCCGACTCAGTCACTAACATCTTAAATATTCTCAGGGAGAAGAGTCCCCGCACCTTTGGACAGCTGCATTGTAAGCCTGGTAGTTGTTCTGATTTCAGAACAGTAATGGCCATGCCATGCCTGAAGGATGACATTCCAGAACAGACACCAAGAACACAGGCAGCAAGAACAAAGCAGACGAATGAGGATGCACCAGACATGCAGAGAACAACTCCTTCCGAAAAAGCCGCAAAGTTTTGCAGCAGAATAGTTCCAAGTCAACACAACTCGAGGAATTACCTGGTCGTTCATTTTGCCAATGGCTTTAAGTGGCATTGATAAGAACTTGATACTGTTTTATTCTTGTTTTTGGTAGAGAGGAGATCACAAAACAGTTTCAGTCTACTGTTGTCCCGAGGATATAGTGCCAAGGGCAAAACCAAAAGGATTTTCTGACACAGTAGATGTGTGCTCAAAACTGAAAGTACACTGAAGACTGACCCTGCAGCTCTTCAGTGAGTTAGAAGAATGGAGTTGTTACTTACTGGAACAGAAAGGCTATGAGAAAAACAGCTTCTGATGTGGCATTTGAGGTACCTGTTAGACACTCGAGTGAATACTATCTTGGTATTCCAGAAAACAATAGACTTTTATCAAAAGAAGATAAGCCATATATCTAATAAACCTCCCTTAAAAGTTCAGTCCAGTTAAATCATAGACAAGAAAGAAATGGTTCAATATCCATGAATGAAGCTGAGGGAAGCAAAAACTCCCTGCAGCACAGAATAAAGAAAGAAAAGAACTTGACAGATGGGCAGGATTGAGATGGGAAGAAACAGAGAACAAAAGGACAGAAAGTGAAACAGCCAACAGAGGAAAGATCTCTCTGCCTAGCACTAGAGGACTGCAGCGAAAACATGACAAAAACACAGGAAGGGCTCTTGTCTATACATGTACATGAAATGACAACACGTGACTGCTGCCTAAAGAGCAGACAGGAGCAGCACACATGCCGGAAGAGACGGAAGTTAGCAGAGTGGGCTGTCGGGGGCAAAAGTAAATAAACCACAATGGGCCTGACTGAAGAAGAGAATTTCTGGGTGGAGACAGCCCACAGCAAGCACAATGCAATACTTCAGCAAACTGCTGCCATTAGATCATCTACTGGTGACAGTTACTAACGAGTCTGTGTGGACTGTTAGATACCCATGATTTCAGGTACGCTTCACAATCTTCTGAAAACAGAACACCAAAATCTGGAAGTGGAGTCAAGTAGATTCAGATAATAAAGATAAAAATTCACTGAAAGAGTGGGAGAAACTGCCCTCAGCACAGCACAGCACAGCATTGTGAAGATAAAATGCAGCTGTGTTCTGGGGATGCCTTTCTCCATGAGAAAGGAAACAATCGGAAATAGGAAACACAACGTAAGCTGGAAGAATCTAAAAAGCAAAAACATAAAGACCCTATGTGAGCTGCCATGTGTTCCTAGTGAGACCTCCCTCCTCCCCATAAGGGAAGTTAAATGGCCTCAGCCTTCTGAGGGTCTCCTATGGGTGTGACTTAAGGACAATAATGGCCATGCCATGGCCAGATGATAGCATTTCAAAATAGACAACAAAAGTACAGGCAGCAAGGACAAAAACAGGCGCGTGGACCTGCAGCAGACTTAAGTGCTCCACAGGAAGACCAGGGGCAGAGCTGAGGCAGAGATCCTGAAGGCAGGTGCAGCAGCACAGCTGTACATGGAGGCACTCAGAAGACCGAGGCAGGAGTTGGAGGCTGGTGTCTGCAGTGCCGGCAGAAGGCACCCAGAACCCCAGGAGAGAAGGAAGGAGGGAACACTGCACTAACTAGCTTAGGATCATGATACTAGTTCAGAAACCACCTATGTTTAAGGCGGCCAAGAGGATGGGAAGAATTATTTTCAGGATTCTTTTTTCTGAAGGTTTGATGACTAAATAAAATGTGTGCAAAGGAGTTTTAGAAGAAAATCATACTAGGCAGACCCGCAGCAAAGTTATTAATGAATAAAATGGAAATACTTTAGTGAGTAGAGGTACTTCTGACAAGTCAAATAACATTTTCCATTCGCTTCTGCTAGCTTCTTCTACATATGCAACTCTAGAAACAAAGCCTTTGTTACAACAAGGTAGCCAGGTGGTGTACTTTACCTTTGCAGTCAGGAGAAGGGCTAAAAGAAGGGTTCCTATTACTAGCAAGAATATGATGAAAATGCTAATAATTTTATCTAACATCTTCTCCAACCAGATGATCATCTGCATGGAAATGAAAAAGAAAAATTACTTATCTTCAAAGTACCATTTAATAAACACTTATATATACTAAATATCACAAATACCAGATATTCAGCATTGCAAAGCAAACTAAACCATAATGATTAAAGCAGTAAAAGCTATAAGCAGATTAACTTTAGAAAATTAACTAATAGCATTAATTGGTGCTGTTATGTGGCAAGTTCATTGTCATAGCTTTGAGAAGGCAGTCAACCAGAACATTATCTACATGCACCCCTGAATTCTCACTGTGCTACATCCACAGTTCAATCTCTAATTGTGAGACCTGGTGAATACATTCTAAACCAAATGATGACAGTCTTGTCTCATGAAGCTGTTTTATCACTTAACCAACACAAGTGGCTTTAGAGAAAGCACGTGCTCCTTGTGATGGCCATCTCTTAAATAGGAGACAAGACAGAGAGCAATTAATTCTAAATGCATTTTGCTTTCATTGCATCAGAGTGATAAATACAGTGATTGCTGATGCATGTAATGTTAAGGCAATAATAAATAGCAAATTCAGAGTAATGGTTCCCAGGTACCAGGTTTTGGGAGGTAGATGCAGTTCTAATGAGATGGACAGTAGATGAATAGTTTTTTTGGGTTTTAATTTGTTTTGTTTTTGTAAATGAATGTGCTATGAAGGCTTTTAGATTTTTTATTTACTGAGGATGTGCACACAGGTGTCAGGGAGTGAGTATGGCAACAGGAGGACAATGTTTAACAACAGGTTCTCTCCTTCCATCGTGTGGCTTTTACAGACTGAACTCGGGTCACTACACTTGGTGGAAGATGGCTTTACCTGCTGAACCATATTGCCAGCCCCAGGACTTTTAGATTTTAGATATTTCACAATAAAATGCTTTTTAAAGTCCTGCTATTCCACTAGAAGTTTTTATTCTATTGAAAGCATAAGTTTTATGACACAATTCTAATTCAATATAGTAGCTGTTCTTTGACTAATAATTAAAATTATGTTCTTCTTAAAATGTTATTTGATATTCTATCTTCGCTAGAACTTCTTCACCTTTTACATCTTTAACACGTTTTGTGTACAGAATATGCAATGACAGACTTGTACACTTCCTACCATGCAAAGCCACCATTTAAAATTCAAAGTCAGACTTGATTAGACCAGTACTGCTAATGTGCCACGCTGCAGCCTTCACCCCAAACATGAGCTGTAATACTGCTGTTTTTCCTAATTTAAATTGAAACTATGCTCTCTACACAGTGAGCAACATTTTCTTTTTTAAAAAACCACCGCAACTTCTACATTTATTTCTTCAAAAGCTGAACCCTTCATACGTCTTCCATGAAGAACAGCGCCTTCGTTTAGTGCCATAGTGAACTCAGACACAAAACGTTAATCTATGATGTTGACACTCAGCTCCAAACACAAGTTAAGCTTCAGTGCATGCTACCAAAGCATCAGAGACAATGCAGAAATTAAAACAAAGGACAAGTTTCTAAGGTATGGAAGGTCAGGTAAGCTTTAAAACCAATGAACTGAGACGTTTGCTATAAGGAAGTAGCTGGACTCTAGTTCCTGAGGCAGCTCCCCAAGGAAAGGGCTGCCTCATTCCTTTCTACAGCCCCCAAACCCAGGAAACCAGAAGTATAGGTTGTATAAGAAACACAAAGTGATTCAGAGTTACTACCAGATTTGTTTCCATGAAAAAGTTTCTGAAAGTAGTATCGGAAGCGCCCTTAAAAGCACATTCTTAAATTAAAATAATCTACTGAGAAAGCACGGAGCCCTAACCTCCTATCAGGTATCAGTAGCATACAAACCACAGGATTCCACAAATACGCCCACCAATTACAAAAATCAGACTTCATAGTTTCAAGCTAGAGTACATCTTCATGGCTCCAACTCTGTCAGAAATTAGTACAAAGTACTTGCTTAAGACTTTGGAGACTCTTGTTCTTTCCAACCTGCCACACACTGAAAGGTTCTTTGCAGAGGACCCTGTTCAGTTCCCAGCACCAACATGGCAGCTCAACTGTCTTCAACTCCACTTCCAGAGGATGTGATGCTCTCTTCTGGCTCCCAGAGCACCAGGCATACATGTATACATACGTATACACAGTGCAATACACACATACATATGTACGTACATATGTAATGGGTAAAACACTCATACACATTTCAAACAAGCAATCAGGACAGAGGAAAAGAAGCAACTGCTGAGCGCATGAGTGAACAAGAGCAAAGAGAAAGACAGAGGAAGACTAAGTCTCTATGCGAATGCTAGGTGCTTTCTTTCCCAGGAGCTGATCTTCCCCATGCTCACAGAGAACAAAGCCAAACAAACTGTGACCCATTACTGCTGGGCTGTGGAACACACATGGTCTCTATGAATTGCTCCAGTCTTCTAGGCAATGACCAATTAGTAACCTTTAAGGTTTTGTTTTTAAAAGAAGAGGAACCATTTTAAAATGGTGTGCTAAATATTTCAGATATGGAAAGATGCATTTTAAAAACTTACTTACACTAGTCCTACTCTAAAACTTCTAACACAACTGGCTTTATCAAGTTAAGAAATATCATAAGCATGGTAGCACATGCCTTTAATCCCAGCACTCAGGAGGCAAAGAAAGGTGGATCTCTGTAAGTTTGAGGCCAGCCTGGTCCATAGAGAAAATTCCAGGACAGCCAAGACTGTTACACAGAGAAACCCTGTCTCGAAAAACAGAAGAAAATAATAAAAACAAAAACAAATATCCTTGTGCCTTTCTGTAGAACACACACAGACATGTGGACTGCATCCCAACTACACACCGATGCTTTGAACACACTACACAAAATGAAAGACAGCAGTTACTTGCTCCCTTAGGAATCTTAAAACTAACTATGTTTTTCAGCTATATATTAGGTTTATAATTGGGTTTCTAACTCATTTAGTCCATTGAGGGTCGATCAAATAAAACAATGAATTTAATTCTTCTTTCTACCTTATCTTGAGGAAAATTCATTTCAATACACACCAACTAGGGAAACATACATAATCACTTTATTTTGATTAAAGATCAATAATAAAATAATAAAATGTGTGTTATACTCTCTCTATATATTCTAACTAGATATCTAGATATAGATAGATAGATAGATAGATAGATAGATAGATAGATAGACAGACAGACAGACAGACAGATAGGATTATACTCACCTCCTGACACAACCTAAGCTTATAGGAAATGAGGGAATAGACAACCATGTAGCTATAGAATGAAGTATATAATATATTTTACACATCGCTTACTTGCAATCCAGTTTAAAAACTTTAGGTATTGTCAAGTCTCCCCATTTCTCCACTTCAATGGGGTTGGGGAAGCAAATTCTAATCTCCATATTTAAAAGTCCAGATATTTGGCTCTAGTAGTGTATGACAGCTTGCCATGCTCAAGGTTTGAATTTGACCCACAGCACCACAAAAACAAATACTGAATAAGTTAATAAATATGAGTAAGTAAACAAAAAGCGAAAAGACGTGACTTTGGTGTAATTCCCCATCTTTAAGGTCTATTACAGTATTTTTACTGAACCTAACTAAGTCTTGTGTTTAAACAGAAAGTACATAAATGATGCCACCTCTTGCAAACTGGTCCTAAGGATTGAAAGCTAGTCAAACACTGCTCTGCCATGACTAAATGTCAGAGGCACAGCATTCCTCATAAGTAGGCCAGCACTAGGAATTTGTATGAAATGTGCCTACCACAGTGCCATACCAAAGCATAGAGAGCAGTTCCAACAGACAACTTCAGGACTAATGAAACACAAAGCTAGATGTTAGAGGCCATGGCTACAGGATTCTTAAATATAAAAAAAAAAAAAAGAAAGAAAGAAAAAGAGGAAAGGAAGGAAGGAGGGAGGGAAAGAGGGNNGGGAGGGAGGGAGGGAGGGAGGGAGGGAGGGAGGGAGGGAGGCGGGCGGGCAGGCAGGCAGGAAGGAGAGGAAAATCTCTTTCTGGGATACTGGATTCACAATTTTTGTCACCTTGACACAAGCTAGAATCATTTGAGAAGAGGGAACCTCAATTAAGAAAATGCCCCACCCAGACTGGTTTATGGGGAAGCCTATGGAGCATTTTCTTAATTTATAATTGATGTAGGAGGGCCCAGCCCACTGTGGGCGGTGCCACCCATGGGCAGGTGGTCCTGAGTTGTATAAATAAGCAAGCTGAGCAAGCCAGGAGGAGCAAACCAGGAAGCAGTATTTCTCCATGATGGACTATTATTGAGACATGCAAGCTGAATCCCCAAGTTGTGATTTATCAAAATAAAAGCCCAAGCTTTGACAATTTGTTAAAAAAAAAAAAAAAGACAAATTCAACAAGTGTTTTACATATTTGTCAGTTTTTAAAAGTTCCTGTGCCATTTATAGAAAAATATAGTTTTCTTCCTCTACCATAACCATAGCTTAATGTGTTTCACAAACCAAAGGAACCTACAGCTGGGTTTGGTGGGAGATGTCCACAATGCTAGCGCTCGGGAGACTGAGGCAGGAGGATAGAAGCCAGGCTAGACTACAGAGCAAGACTCGAAGAAAAAAAGAGAAAGAGACCAGAGTCACCCCATAAATGAGGAAAGGCAAAAAAAATCAATTCTATGGACAGAAGTGCTATGAGACATAACTTCTTGAATACTTGAACAAAGGGGCCCATTCATATCTAAGAGTTTGTGGAAGTTTCAGAAAATAACTTTATGGCAGAATTCATATTTCACGACCTTCCATAGCTTATAGTTAGAATTTTAAAAACAAATTTAGTTTGACATGTGGACAGAAACACAGAATGAGAAAGGAGATGCTGAGGGGTGGGGCGGGGTATAAAATCCAGTAGTGAAAACCACACCCACATGTTTATTACCTTCTTATTTAGCCAGTGCCAGAGCTGGAGGACAGGGGAGGTGAGAGAAGTAAGAACAGTGGGATATCATTAGAGAATGCAGCAACAGCAGGAGAGAAAGTCTCTAAGAGCAGGGAGGAGCTGGGGGAAAGGAGAGGAAGGAACAGTGCATCACAGGGCTTGACACGATGCTGTTTTCCAGTCAGGATGGTGGAATGACAACCACAAGCATTCCTGTAGCACCTGTGCAGCCACAGCCCCTCCTGTGCAGAGCCTCTGCACAGCCAGTCCCTCTACCTATAGTGCCTGCCGACTTCCCCAAAGCTCCCCTTTCCTGCCTCTGGGCAACCAAGGGCATTCTCACACTGTGCTCCCACTGTGTCACAGGGATGCTTCTCTACACAAACTGTGGTCATAGCTGAATACATCAGACACATAAGATCCTGCTTATATTAACTCAGCAAACACAACCACATTATGAGGTGTTATCGTACCCATTTTGTTAACAATGAAACCAAGGCACAGAGAAGTAGCCATCTGTCCAAGGTCACAGGGCTAGTAAATAACCAAAGTGGGAGCCAAAGGTGGAGTGTGGGCTTAACTACTAAGTTATCGGGAATTACCAATGGGGCAGTAAGTCAAGCTTCTGTTTCTGGGGGTCCAGGACTGGTTAAGCTGTCCTGTAACTCAGCACAGTATCTGACAAACAAGAATCACTCCAAAATATCCCTGCTCTGAGCCACCATCTCATTACCTAGACTTAAACAAGTCGCTTCTCTCTGGGTTTCACTCTGGTCCTTAGCAAGAGAAGTCAATCTAGATGCTCTCTCCTTTAACAAGAAAAATAACTACAATTGTATTTCATTTAAGTGTGCCCTATCTCATAAGAACCATAATTCTAAGCTTTAAAGTTTCATGGAGAATTAGATATGAAGTACATTATTAACATGTTATGAAATGGATCATTTCAAGCCATGGAACACATAAAATCCATTGAAGCAGCCAATCACACAATACCTTGCTATCAACTTTTAGTAAGAACTTTCCAAGCCCGATAATTGGCCATGGTGCTAACGCCTCCTGCCGCTCCTTCAGGAAGCACTCGACAACTTGCCACCACACGAGGCAGCGTTTCTCCAGGAAGCCCACCACTCCGAAGTGAATCACCAGCTTTTTAATTATCCAGACTACAGAGAAGAAACAAACACAAAGGACACGGATTTCAAAGCAGAACATGAAAAAGCTCCTTAGTTTTCATTCTAAATAGCAAAACCAGTACTAAAACAAGATCATGCAGGAAAGAAAAGAGGAGGATCACAGGTATTTCAAACAGAAGGAACTAGCCAAGTGTCTTAGTTGGGGTTTTTACTGCTGTGAAGATAGCATGACCATGGCAAATCTTATAAAGGAAACCATTTAATTGGGGATGGCTTACAGTTTCAGAGGTTTCGTTCATTACCATCATGGCGGGAAGCATGGTGGTTTGTAGGCATGGTGCTGGAGAAGAAGCTTAGAGTTCCACAGGCCGCAGAAAGAGGCTGAGACTAACAAGATGTGGCATGAGCTTCTGAGACCTCAAAGCTTGCCCCCACTGACACCACTTCCTCCAACAATGCCTCGCCACTTCCACAAGGCCTCCTTTAGTGCCACTTCCTTTGAGTCAAGCATTCAAACACATGACTCTTTGGAGGCCATTCATATTCAAACCACCACACCAGGTACACTTTCAGGTAAGCCCCACTAGCTAAACATCAGCTTCTTTTTGGAGCTGAATCCCAGGGTCAGTCAGGGTCCACTGTCTAGCCTACAAACATCATGAACTACAATGGCCTTCATAGCTTCCCCTTTCCTAAGGAACACTGGGTCCTGACATTTACTGACGTCCTTGGCTATTACAGCTGCTCTCCCCCAGGGGCTTTGTACCACTGCTTTTTCAACTGTGCTCCTGTTTCCTCATATGACGCTGCTCTGTGCAAACTCTCTATTCAGCAGATGAACAAACCGTTAACACCAACTAGGAAGAGGCCAGAAGGCTGCTCATTAGTGATGGTGGACATATGTAGTTGTCTCTTCCCACTGTAACATCTCTAACTCCTGGGACCAATATTCTTAAGCCCAACCTTGTAATTTGCAGGGCCAGTGTGGTGGTTTGAATGAGAATGGATCCCATAGGCTTATAGATTTGAATGTTTGATCCCCAGTTAGCAGAACTGTTTGGGAAGGATTAAGAGGTGTGGCCTTATTGGAGGAAGTAGACATTAGCAGTATGCTTTAACACTTCCAAAGTCCATGTCATTCCCAGACTGTACACTGTGTGTTGTGTGTGCCTGCCTGTCTCTGCCCGCCCGCTGCCATGCTCCTCACCATGCAGGCCATGGACTCTAGCCCCCTGGAACCACGATGAGCCTCTAACTAATGTTCTCTTTTGTAAGCTGCCTTGGTCATTGTGTTGTGTTGCAGCAAGAGAAAAGTCAAAGAGTCAGAATGACATAACAGTTCAAAAACTCTTTAGGTTTTTGGGTTTTTTGCTTTGTTTTCACAGGTTTTGAAACAGGGTCTCTCTATGTATCCCTGGCTGTCCTGGAATTCTCTAGGGCTCTTGCGGAGGACATGGGCACATGTGGCTTACAAGTGTCTGAAACGCAAGTTCCAGAGGATCTAATACCTTTTTTGGGCCGCTACAGGCACACATAGGCAGGCAAACACTCATATACACGAAATAAAAATAAATATTTTTCTCATGACCTAAGTACAAGCATATAACTATTTTAAGATGGCTATAAAATTATGTCAAATATTAAAATCCCATGGCAAGAAAAGGAGGGAAAAAAAGCCTGTGGCAACAAGATAAAACATTAACCAAATAACAACCTCCAACAGGTACCGGCAGCAGCTGCACGATCCACAGATTCAGCCAGAGCTGGACAGCAATGATGGCCCACACAAGAGACACAAAGTAAATGTCACTCGTTTTCTTCTTTCTGAGAAACGACCCCATCTCAGGCCTCTGTCTGCCCAAAGTAGGTGAAGGAGAAGAGGGTGAGGAACAGGAGGAGGATGAAGAAGGAGCAGACAATGCTGGGGTGGGCTCTCCCCTGTCCGTGGGTTCTAAAAAACACAAAAACATAAAGTCACACATGGAGACAAGAGCAATATAAATTATACTGCACTGGCAGGATCTCACTGGGTTCAAGAGACAGAAGATTTTGACTGAAAGTAATCTGTGGAAACTGTCCCATCAGCAGGGTTTTGATCTAGGGAAATCAGATTTTCTGGGAGATAGCAAATGTTCTAACTTTTACTCTATATGAATTAAATATTTTTGAGATTCATTTTTATTGTATTTGTATGGATGTTTTGCCTGCATGTGTCTGTGCTCACTGGTCAAGGCTAAAAGTGAAGAGCAATAACTCTATTACCTAAGTATCATCCTTCTCTGATTTGGAAACATGGTTTCACATGTATAGGAACAGTATGTGTTTGTTCTACTCTGACTGGCTTTTTCTTAAATCCTACCTTCCTTAACACATGTAGTTAGTCAGTTCTTCAAAAATACCTTGCTATATTGGGGGAGCTGAAGGATTGTTCAGCTGGTAAAGTGTTTGGCACATAAGCCTAAGCACTTGGGTTTGAATCCCCAACACCCACGAAAAAGGGCTACAATGTTTGACTGCAATCCCAACACTGGAAAAGTAGGGACAGGGAAATCTCTGGAGCTCGTTGGCAAGCAAACCAAGTCAAATTGGTAAGCTGCAGGTGCCATGAAAGACCTTACCTCAAAAATTAAAAAGAGTGACTGAGGAAAATACTAACCTCGAACTCTGGCTTCTACACACACATGCATTCACTACACACATATATACTAACCATATGCACTAAAAAAAAAAAAAAAAAAAAAAAAAAAAAAAGTTTGCTGTAATAATCTTAACCTCTAATTACCCCTGGCACTAACAGGCATCTCAGCACAAACTGGGACAGACTTACACACTTCTGAACTCCGTCAAAATGTGGAATGATTACAGCCCTAAACCTGGTATGAATCTACCAGGGGGATCTAACAGAAGCCAGGCCCTACAGAACAACCAGAGGGCCTGCTCTGAGAAGCCAGTAAATAGATATCATATAAGGCATTCAAATTGTACTCTTACTGTGAGACAAGAAAAAGAATACCAGGGAAGTAAAAAAGAAAAAAAATGAATGTATAAAATGTGGAAAGGAAAAACACCCCACTGTAGACGGGGAGTTGGGAAGTGAAGGAAACAAATAAAAAACAGTACAAAACTAAACAAGGTAGAACTGACTGCTGGAAAAGGAGCACAGAATAAAAAATCCTAGATAAGGAGAGCACAGAGTTGGGGTGGAAATATGTGATGTGGGAGTGTCATATCAATCTGTTGATTTCATTGGCTGAGCAATAAAGAAACTGCTTGGCCCTGATAGGTTAAAGCATTGGTGGGAGGAGTAAACAGAATAGGATGCTGGGCGGAAGAGGAAGTGAGGTCAGACTCTGCTCTGCTTCCTCGAGAGATCTGCTCTCTGGAGCAGAGACGCCATGCTCAGCTCTCCTGGGTAGACTCGACAGCTCTGCTCTGGAGCAGAGACACCAGGATGGACGGAGGCTAGAATCTTCCTGGTAAGCGCACCTAGGGGTGCTTACACACATCATTAGAAATGGGCTAGTCCAGGTGCGAGAATTAGCCTGTAAGGGCTAGAGTTCATGGGCCAAGCAGTTCTTCTTAAATGAATACAGTTTGTGTGTTGTTATTTCGGGCATGAGCTAGCCAAGCGGCCGGGGTGTTGGGGACGCAGCCCCGCCGCCTCCTATTTCAACAGATATGTACGGTAAACGGGACACTGAGCGAAGAGCAGTGTAAGTGTGAGACATAAGAAAAGCATGTTTTCAAAAGGCCAGGGAAAGAACCAGAGAACAAAAACAAACAAACAAACAAGGGGGGTTACACTGTAAAACAGGAAGAGAGCAGAGCTGGGAAGCACCAGCAAGCCTGAGGTCCACTCTGTGCCGCCAGGCTGCTCTTCACTCTACTGCCTCCCTCTGTCTCATTTTCTAGAATGAGTCTGAGCACTTCATGACGTCAGTCACCTGCGGGCTGAGTGGAGGGCTGGTCTTCACTGCCTGACTCATACCCTGTGATGGAGATGGCCAAGTTTGCAAGAGTAGACGCTGCCATGGAGATCACTTGTCCTGGTAATTCTGCCCCTGTAAAGGGTGGGGGTGGGGAGGAAGAAACACATTTTTTTAAAAAAAAAATCCTTAAAACAAATGAAAAAAGGCAGGAACTAACCCCTGCCAATTTAAACCAAAACTATTTTCAATAGCAACAAACTAAAACAGTGATTTCTCAGCCACTGTGGGTCTTCACCAAGAAAGAATACTTCAAAACTGTCACCTACAAGTCCCCGAACATTCTTTCTTCTTCATTTGAGAGCCCAATGATGGTAAGTATGCCAGATAGTTCACCTAAACAACTAAATTCAAAATGCTAGGCTTTTATAACTTTACAACATGATTTCAATGCACATTTCTGCTGGAAAACTTTGCACACCAAGTCTGACAGCTTCCGGGTTAAACTGGCTTGTACTATTTTGTATTATTAGGTGCTAATACAATATGGGACAAACCACATTTCCTGTTCACAGTAAGGACATAACATAAATGAATATGTAAATATATGGATGGATATTGTGCAAAAACAGTCTACAAAGTACAAACTTCAACAAAGGAGGCAAAATCCACCATTGGGAAATCTAAACATGATGGAGGTGGGTCATCTTTCTATCTGTTGTTTCATTAGTTAATTAATAAAGAAAACTGCTTGGCCCTGATAGGACACAAAATTAGGTAGGCGGAGTAGACAGAACAGAATGCTGGGAGAAAGAAGCTGAGCCAAGGAGTCGCCATGATTCTCCCACCCGACACAGCCACAGGTTAAGATCTTCCCTGGTAAGCCACCTCATGGGCTAAACAGATTATTATAAATGGGTTAGATCAATATGTAAGAGCTAGCCAATAAGAGGCTGGAACTAATGGGCCAGGCAGTGTTTAAAAGAATACAGTTTCCGTGTAATTATTTCAGGTAAAGCTAGCCGGGTGGCGGGGATGCAGCCCTGCCACTCATATTACTACACTACACATTACTTGGTCCCCTGGTGTAGCACAAATTCTAATTGGTTTTAATAAGAAAACCCCATGTCAGATATGCTAAAAGATCAGAGAAGCAGTCAGTCACTAGTTCTGACCTCTACCGAATCCTCAGATCAAATGGACTGAATCTACTTTTAAACCTATCATATCCACCCTATAAAATTCCTGCTGGATAATACCAAAGTGTATCATTTGCACTGGATTCAAATCAAGCATCTACTGGCAAGTGAGGCATCTCTTTGATGGTTGGTCACTTAACAGGCTATGCAGACAGGGTAGACTGGCTCATACAGCACCAAGTTCTAGTATATTTTCTTACACGCTAGAAGCTATGTCTTAAGTGTCATATGCTGCAGCCAAAGTGCCATATGCAAAGCAGTTTCCATCAAGCAAGTACACCTGTGCACTATGGGTAACAGAATGAAACACTCTCATTTGAAAGCCACACAGCTCCCACAACAAACACTCTGCAGGCCAGTGACTTTTCTGCAGCAACTCAGCAAAGGTCCCTGAGTTCCTAAAGTCTGGTTTCTAAGTTAATGGCAAGCAGCAGGCATGGCCTTCTGTCTAGAACACTTCTGTATTTGTTGAGAACCTCCCCCAACCACACTGTTTCCATCTATGCCAAAGCCATGAATAGGTGTTTGGCTTTGCCAAAAAAAAAAAAAGAAAAAGTGTAATTTCCAGTTGCGAATGAGTACCCCTCCCTATTCGTACCAGCTGCAGTGGATTCTACAACTTAAGGACACTGGCCATTCTAACCAAACCATGGCCACTCACACAGATAGGACCTTACTTTTAGAAAGCATGACAACAGAGAAGTCTGCCAATCATGGAAAATAAAACAACTCTTCAGTAAGTTAAAGAATTATTAACTCCAATTAACCCCATACACCCACAAATTAAAGACTGCCATCTGCCTGAGATAAGAAGCCAGAGTCGCAAGTGGTCACTGAAATGCAGAGCTGCCCGGCTCAACCATGTCCTAGCACAGCCTCCAATAAATGTCCCTGCGGCCTGAGTTTATTTTAAGGCACTCAGAGAGAATTGTCACTCACAGTCTAGGAAGAAGACATAAACTGTGTCTATAAGGGGACTTCAGTCCTTCAGCAGTCGTTTACAGACCAAACGAGTCTATACAAAGGCAAACATCAACTGCGGGAGGAAGGAGGTCCCTTTACGTCTGACATGTACTCATTGTTTACGAGTACCATGTGTTGGGGATAAAGACAGACAGACAATTCCCAAGTCTAGTGAAGAGACATACCTGCATTAAAGAACCACATAAAGAACAAGCGACAAATTATGACCGCTACACATGGTGCAGGTGTTTTATTAGCTCTTAAGACAAGAAACCTGCAATAATCTGGAAAATCAGGGAAGGGTTTGCTCTTTACATTTGTATTTATTTTTTTTATTGTGTTTGGGTGTTTCCCTACAATGTATGTCTATATACCGCATGTGTACAATGCCCACAAAGGCCAAAAAAAGGTGTCAGAACCCTGGAACTGGAGTGACAGATGTTTATGAGCCACCATGTGGATGCTGGGAACTGAACTTAGGTCCTCTGTAAGAGCAGCCAGCGCTCTTAGCCTCTAAGCCATTCCTCAAACCCCAAGGAAAACGTTCTCTTTAAAAATGAAACTATAATTGCTATTGTAAGCAAGGAAAGGGAACTAACCAGACGAATGCCAAGAGCAACCGCGGGCTAGAAGGAACCTGTCAGGACGGCTCTGGAAAGAAGCTGACATGAGAACAGTAACAAAAAATGTCAGTATATTGAGGACACAGACGGCTAGAGGGACAGACGACCGATTAAAAAGCTATAGCCAGTACACCAAATGATATTAGGCACAGAGATCATACTGAGAGTTTTACTCTACCCAAAGAATAGAAGAGCACTGGAATCGTGAGCAGGGTGGTAATCCCCACCTCCATCTTCTGAAATGGAGTAGAGTATATAGACTCATGTGTAGCTCTAGAAGTTTCTACAACAGCAACATCTTCAAAACTGGAGTGCAATACTCCAGTCAAGACAGCAGCGGTGGCGCGAGCCATGTAAGCATCCTCAGCACAAGACCCTTCCCCTGCCCTCTCAGGACCCACACAGTGGCCTCCTGCCCTTAAGTAAGCGACCAATTCTGAGATGTACTAAGTTCACTCTCGCTTTTCTGGGGGATGGATGAGAGGAAACCTAGAAACAGTCTGCAGCGGGTATGGAGTGGCTGCATTCAGGGGACCGCATGCAGTGATAAACTCACAGATCACAGCCGAAGGTGCCCTCCTCTCCAGGTTATCTCACGGGGAACTGTAAGAGGCCAGAGTGAAGATTCTGGAAACTGGCGTTTTACTAAGACTTGGAGATAAAAGTTTCATAAACTGACTACAGTAGAGATCTCAGGAAAACCTCCCAAAAAAATCACAGTGTGGGGACACCTAATAACCCTGACAGTAAAGCAGGGGGAGGGGGAAAGATAGGTGGGACAATTTCCAGTCAAAATACAATATAAGACAGCGCTCTCTCCTCTGAAGTAAGCAACAGTCAGTAGTCCTCAACAAGCAATTTCTACATATGCAATTAAATAAGAGGAGGTTCACTTGAGACACCCTAAAAAAACAGCTTCCATGGTGACTTTCAAATTTACTCATCTAAGAAGAGACTAGGCTATATGCTAACATAGGAGACAACACCCTTAACTCGCATCCACTGTAATGCTGAAACTAGAAGTTACAATCAATATGTTAATAACTAACGTCAAATAGTGTAGAACATTTGAGCAGCACAAAGGATGGAAACGTAAACCTGGCGGTGGGGACGCAGGCCTTTAATCCCAGCACTCGGGAGGCAGAGGCAGGTGGACCAGCATGGTTTACAAAGTGAATTCCAGAACAGCCACGGTTGCACAGAGAAACCCTGTCTCGAAAAACAAACTAACTAAAATTATGGAAACCTAATCCATGCTGGGAGCTCAGGAGACAGTTTCTAAAGGAGTTCTCTCTCCAGGATACTAGATCATTCTATTCTCTAACTCACTTAAACAACAGCAGCCACATAAAGGAACAGAACAAGTCTATCTTGGGGAAAGGAGAGACTGGAGCTTAACTAGTAATACTAGCTACAAGTTCCTAGACAAAATAGCAAAGCAGCATCCTCTTTGAAGGGCTTCAAGCAGTCAAGAAGGCCAGAACACAAGTCTATGAGAGAAGTGGGCAAGTAACTGGAAGATGAAACTTCCAATTCAGAGAGTGGAAAGCTACAGAGTTTCTATACGTGGAGGAAGGATAATTCCAAGGCTGGGGAGGCAGGTGAGGAAGCAGAAACACCTAGGCCTGAATCCCAGTTCTTACCATGGGGACAGTGGTGGGAGAATCCCTGCCAGCAAGCCCAGTATCCTCACAGGTGAAGCCAGTTCCTATTTTGTATGTGACTGAGTGGAAAGATAAAGAGCTCTGAATGCTTCCTGGGAGGTACTGAGCACATCTGAGCCATCACCAACAACAAAGTACTGTCACTGACAGCACACACTGTCAGCATAAGCCACTAATGTCTCCAGTACACCCAGAGGACCTCTGCAGCCTCCATCCCTTTACTTACTAGTACAGCTATGCCCTAAGTCATAGTCTCCCCAGCAGACACGTTCATATCTTCTTTCAGAGTTAAGTTACATTCTGCACACCATAGACATTTGAATCTGGAAACTAAACTACAGTGTAAAAAGACTATTCGATTTGCTACTGTCAATAAAATACACAGTGAACACCCGATGAAATCTATGCAGTCACGTTCTGGGTCACACAAAGTGATTACCACACAGTGAAAACCAACAAAAGGCACTTGAAAATTACGGACCCAAGACCTGGTAACTTCTCTATCAAACAGATACACACTTCAGTGAGTTCTATCTATGTGCGATGTTTCTGTACTTCAAAACCCCAAGGTCTGGACAGATGAATGCCAAGAATGAGATTCTAGGCAAGGTCATGGTACTAGATATAAAAATAGTCATATAAACAAGGATTCATAACCTTGGGCTCAAGGTCTGGGGTGGGGATGG